GACGCGGCGGTCTCCCGCGGAGAACTTGGTGTCGCAGCGGTCTCCTGCGGAGCACATTTATACAACACAGGGCTCATTGGCTGTGAGGGAGCACATTTATACAACACAGGGCTCATTGGCTGTGAGGGAGCGCATTTATACAACACAGGGCTCATTGGCTGCGAGGGAGCGCATTTATACAACACAGGGCTCATTGGCTGCGAGGGAGCACATTTATACAACACAGGGCTCATTGGCTGTGAGGGAGCGCACTCTTACAATCGCAGGGCTCATTGCTGCGAGGGAGAACTTGTTGACGCAGCACTCTCCTGCGGAGAACTTGGTGACGCAGCGGTCTCCTGCGAGGCACACTTGTTGACGCGGAGCCCGTCCCGCGAGGCACACTTGATCACGCAGAGCCCGTCCTGCGAAGAGTACTTGGTAACGCAGATCTTACCTGCAAAAGACACCCCAAGGCTGCGAGGCCCGGAGTGTGAGGAGGAAAGTCCTGCTTTTCTTTTCGACGGGAAAAGAGCGTCTTTTATGCTATTCTGAGTAGGGGTTTCGGCAGCGACCACTTGCGTACATTTTGCCGAGTCCAGAGATTTTGACTTCAAATTCGCACTGGGCGACCCTAATTTCGTGAGTGTTGAAGCGGTTTATCAACGTTGAAATAAGAAATTTCAAGAGTTTGGAGTGGAGAGCGGGCGGAGTGGCTGGATCCACCCGGAGCCGTGGTTGATACGAAGCTATTTGTGACAAATCATTGGCCTCATCAACATTGATTCACCTGGCTTAAACGGCCTGCAACGCAGTTGGTATGAGGTGTAGACTGAAGTGGCATGCCATGGGCTAGTCGCCCTGGCGGCTTAATCTCTCGTGGTAGCAGAAGTCTGCCAATGTTCGCTCGCACTGTAGCCAATCGATTTGCGAATCATTGGTCTCAACATTGCTCAACGATGTGAAACGGTTTTCACGCAGCTAATATGTAGAGGCGTTCCATGGAAGTCTCGCCTTGGCAAATCGCTTGCCCATCCGCAGAATTTTTCGCCTGCAAACTTTCTGTTCTCGCCCCGTGAGAGAAAAGTGATTTCCCTCAGCCTAGCCGACACATTTTCCGCCCCGAGTCGCAATCACTGCAACGCGTCATGCCGCCCAAATTTTTATCTCACTTGCCAGCACAGGATGACCGGGGTACTTCGTGTGCCCACACCCACAAGCCGGCCGAGGTACCATCGATGAAGAGGTGTCGACGCCGATTCCGTCGTCGGAACATGATTTCGTCGCGCCCAGCATTCATGGTCTCCATAGTCAATCAGCAACCCGTTCACACCTCGCAATCCTCTCGAAATCGAAGAATCAATGATTATGGAAGGTCCTAAAACTCTTTCTAAAACAAAGTCTGAGACTGCATCCAGGGATTGAAAGCCAGGGTAAGCTAAAGTAAGAGAGTAGAGCGCCTTCGCTACATATGTAATACGCTGATCTGTTTTTTTCTCAGCAGCTGGCGTACTGGAATTCAAAGTATATATACGTATTCAGTCTTCCACTGCCATTGAAATCGCATGTGCATCGATATGTGCCAGGCTGTTGCATCTCCCAGAGGCTGGTAATCCTGACGGCAAGGGAGCCCAGAAACACCATCAAAATACTTGTTCAAAAAGCGTCGCATATGTTCCGGAAACTTTGGTCAACGATAAAAATTTCGATCCATCGACTAAGACTACTTGAGAAAGAATGGCCTTCTGATTTCCCGGGTAGAATTCACTGCATATTCTCCAGCGTTTGCTTCATCTTCTCCATATCCCTTTTTAGGGTTCCGATCTGTCGAGCTAGAATTCTCACATCACCCGCAAGGGTTTCCGGACAACTTATGTCGGATTTGCTATCCGAACTTTCGAGTCAACCATTAGCGTCTTTCTACCTTCAAGACTCTTGACTGTGGTATCTAAGAACTTTCACGGGAAATGAGCTGAGGCTGGCCACGAGTACTTACTTTGCTGCTTTGCTCACGCTACTGTAGAGGCACTGGTTAGATATCATATGGGACACTAAAGACAGAACACCACAATATTCCGAGACGTAGTGACTCACCGCTTGGCCGAAGAATGAAAATTATCAGACTGACAGGGTAAAGAGCCATCGACAGATCCATTTTCCGGAACCCCTTCGAAGCGGACCTTGCGGTCGCGCTTTGCGTCGTGACGGCGCTTCTTAATTCTCTCCATGTCGTTGTCTCGAACGCGAAGGGGGCCTTGTGGCTTTTTTCCAGAAGACATTTCTTCATTTCTTTTCTTCTTCGCTCGGTCCTCGTTGTGGTTCGCGTTCACGCGGGCGACATTTGCGTGCAATTTGTTCATCCAGTAACTGGATACGGGGTTGGCTTGGTCGCTCATGATAGATTAACAGTGGGAAACAGTCCAGGAAGCCAAGGAACGGTTTTAGGAAGCAACAGCAGAGTGTCGTCAGAAATTTAGAAACAGGAAACATTGAATATATCTAAGAGCATGCCATTTAAGAGGAGCTTCAGGTTTTACGTCTCAGAATTATCTATCGTGTGTGTTTCTTGGCCTCAGGATCCATGGAACAAAACCCCATGGACTGTGGCCAAGGAAGGAATTCCGTTTTCGTTTTAAGGTACATGTAACGTAACAACTCTGGAAATAGTCTAGGCTCTCAAAAAAGTCAAAAAGTGTTCAGAAAAATAGAGAACTCTATCTCTAATCCAGCCTAGAGGTTAACTGAGAAACTCAAACACAAGGACAAAGGTGTCTTTTATTCTTGTTTCAAAACATCTTCCTCTACTGTATAAGGAGCTTGATCAGGACTGGAAACTCAACACGGTTGCAATCCTAGGTCGAAATGGCATTCTGATAAATGGACCTGGAGAAATTCTTCAGTCTTCGAATGGTAGTGTCTCTTTGAATTCTGGTGAAGTCACCTTTTTTCAACCCCTGCCTTATGCTTCCTCTGGCTGAAATGGATGAAAACTGTTCGAGGAATCATGTCTCTCTTCGCAAGAATCTCACTCGGTAGTGACACGCTTCCAAGGGACCATTCATAGCTTCTTAGAAAGCCTCATATGACTATTGAACTACTAGATCGCCTGCTCCGGATCAAAACTCTACGATAGACATGGAAGAGAAACAGTGAGCTCATATTGTAATCTAATGTGTATTCAAAGAACAATATCTAGCAGGAAACTATGCAGAGGTTTCATAAACTCGCATACCAATTAGTTTCTGTAAGAACATTCATCAAATATTGCGTCCAAAGTAACTCGCACACCAAAACGCTCTGATAGGTATCTTTATGTACCAATAATACTGTCGCTTCGAAATTCACCCACAATTCCACCCACAAATTGCTACTCCCAATGAGGAGATAGCTCTTTGGTTCCACAGATACGGTGTACATAGTCCCAAAGCCAGGACCTGGACTGGAATTCTCGTGACTGAGGATGATGCGGATCCGGTGTGATATAAACTAAATGACAGAACAAATTAGCATGAGTAACCGACGAAGATATGTCCGCGTACCGGAATGTGACTTTTCTGTGGCGGAACTGCTCTCTGAAGCAGTGGATTCTGCTGAAGGTATTCTCTGGAGCCATTGATCGATATTTTGAGCCTTGGTATCTGTGAACGCTGGGAATCTCTTCCTGGCACCCCCAAGCCGTCGAATACGTCTTTGGCGCTTTGGAACTGAGCGCTGCCTAGATACCTTGGCACGATTGAGACGACGTTTTCGAAGAATGTGATATTTCTTCCCCCGTAGTGATTCGACTGTTCGGTTAGTCTCATATTGCTTATTATAAGCGGCAGCACGAGCTTCCCAAGACAGAGCTCGGTTTGCATCTAGCCAAGGGAGAAGATTATCCTCCTCCCATTCTGACCAGCGGAACGAGCCGTATTGAGACATGTTGGGGCCAAAAAAGCGGTGGTGAATAATGAAGCTGACTTGTGAGAATTCTGCAGGAATTTAGAACGTACAGAAAGTGGGTGTGGTGAGCTTTAAACTTTTGGCTGAAATGATTGTCACAAAGCGACAGATTCTAGAGGCAACCCTACCCAAAATACTTGACTGATTCCTGGGAATTACTGGTTATGCCTGGAAATTGCCGGCGATGTGATAATCCAATGTAACCATTGAGAAACATGGTCAGACTGAGGTGATCCGTGGTTCTGTTCTACTACCGTGAATCCTCATTTATTTACGGCATTTTTGATGTTATCCAACGATGCTCAACTAAAAGGCATGGTTTGTTTCCCGAAAAGCTCACCGAAAAAGCGAATGCAACATGTTGAGAGCTTGAAAAAATGTCCTTGGATCACACAAAGCCATTCTTCGCTCATAACGCCACTTGGCGTCACGACTAAGCATTGAGATTCGTCTTTCATGCTATGGCGATTAGCTCCTTTCTTGGTCAGCGTCTGCCAATTTCCCTATAGTATCTGTTCATCAATACGAGTGAATTGTAGACTGGTCCAGCCTACGTGACTCCATTGTCGCAGATGTGTTAATTCCAATACAATGACTGGAAACTGGCTGCCAGTGAGAGGCTAAAATGGTGGAGGCTAATTCGATCAGATCTCCGGATATGGAGACCAGTGGGGCAGGATCTCTCCGCCACCTCAGATCGTCCGTCCGCTCCGGGCTCGGTCGTGTATTTAGCATGCCCCTAACTTTTCAGATTCTTTCCTCTATTTAAAATTCCGATCCAACAGAAAGAATAAGAATAAGTTGGAATATCCAAACTCCAAATATGCCTTCTCGTCGAAGACTGTCACTTGTCGGTGGACCGCACACCTTCCGAAGCAGACTAAAACGTGCATTATCTCTGTCATCTTCCGAATCGAGCAACGAAGCCAGGAGCCAAAGACCAAAAATGAATCATTCCACCGGGCATGCGTTGTTTTCCGAAAATGATGGAGCTATCGGACGCAGAAAAGTTGGAATTGAGGCCGACAATCGGGAGAGTTACCATTGGCGACCGTGGGAGATGGAATCTGAGAATGAGAATGAGTCGCCCGAAGACTGCATCAGAGGGCGAGCCCGAAGAGTTCACACAACATAGCATTATTGCACTGAAATGTGTATCAGAGTGAGTGCGGAAACTGAAAATAGTTGTTCTTTTACTAATATGTTGATCAAGTCTGGATAGCCGAATGAAGTCGGTACATTTTACGATAAAGAGAGTGGAAACAATGCTGATTTTTACTCTACAGATCCTTAGCAAATTCTGTTAACCGACAAGTTGCTTGGAATGAGACGATCCGGCATGATCTGGAAGATGCCCTGAGCCGGCTCGCCACTCTGGAGACTCGAATGAAAGATACGATGGTTCAGAAAAAGTCTGCAGTGTCGAGAATGGATTACAGGGCCGCTCGAAATCAGCTTCACTTGTTTACTCTCTTTAAAACTTTTCGAAACCTTATCTTGCATTGCACTATACCGGTTTGGGCTAGACTACCCCTGACCCACTATGCCGCGGTATTCTCATACAAGTGTAAATAAACGAATAAAAATAGATTCCGTAACGTGCTGTACGGACGATTTTGTTTTCTAGAACCAACTCATTGCAAACAAGTCAAACAATGCAGTCGGTTGTCTGGCCACCTCTCTAGCTTGCATTCCAACATTCATCCAAACCCCCACGGCAGATCCAAGCGGATAGCGAACGAAAATACGCAGATTGAAAAAGAAAGGAACTGGTGGGGTCTTCATCACAATGCGTTTATCATCGACTCTCCATCAACTTGCAGCCCTCAATCATCGAACCCGCCGCCTGTTGAACCTGGAAGCCAAACCGTGCTAACGTTGAATTGAACAGGAACCGTTCACCATGATTAATGGCTCATTCTGTGACCGTGATAGCGCTCAACCCTATGCCCCCGATCTCTCGGACCAGGATTCACAATACGCCCCCACTCCAGGATACTATAACGAGACACTACACTCGCATTTTGAGTTCAGCCCTACCCCGGATCGCTATCCCCAGGGCAGTCCCGTAGCCTCAATCTGCGCCCCGCAAGAAACACCAAGACTTCTTCAAGTCGGTGAGTGGGAAGCAAGTAGACCAGATGACGAGTTTCCACCGACCTTTATTCGGTATACAATCGAGTGGAAAGTGAAGGTGAACAACCGGTTCAGGTGGGAGGACACGATAAAGAATGTGACCCTGACACCAAGTGCCTATTGGCCTTCGGTCCTGAGGCCTAAGTTGGAGAACGTGCTTCAAGAGCGGATCCCACGTAGCCGAAGGGTGAGATCGGATGGCACGCTTGTAGTCATGTCGGTCAACGATCGCAAACACAAGAACGAAAAATTCTGGTTTCAATCCCTTGATATTGATTGGACTGCAGTGGAGGAGCAACTAATTACTTGGGGGAAACTTCACACTCGAGGCAAGGAACTAAGGGTAATTATTACTTTCAACTATACAGAGGACGATAACCTTTCCAGGAGTGCAGCAGGTAGGGGTGAAAAACGAGGGAAGTCATCTGTGACGAAGAGAATGCTTGGCGAGCGTGATGCACAACTTGATGCTGAAGAGCATGTATCTGGAGAGCAGTCCATCTGGCGGGCTGTCTATAGCTTAATGCGTTGTCCTTTACCATCCTGTCATCTTGGGCCGCATTGCTGGCAGGATCCTCATGGAAAGAAACACTACCAATTGAGAACGCATCATTTGAAACGCCTGATTGCGTATGTCGATGCTGGGGGTGTTTTAGAGTGCCAAGATGATGTTCCCGATGCTGTTCGGGAAGAATTATATATGGAAGAACAGCAGAAGATGGAGCATTCACAGTCCAAGAACAACAAATCGCTCACTCCCGGAAACTGCCCACCTATCAACATCAATTTCATGGGAGGACAATCTTCTATACAACCAGCAGCAGCTGATTGTATCCCACAATCCGAAATGTCTTCCCACCAGAAACAGCATAGATTTATTCTTCTCACAATTGATGGCCCACGGGATGTGGCTGTGAAGGAATACAGCGCCTGGCAAGAAACAAATGTCATCGATGCAAATTTGAGGGCTCAATTCCAGTTGGCTTGTGATGTCACGCTCGCCAACGGTCTGGACCTTGAGCAGATTCACGAGGATCAAAATCCGGAATTTTTTGTCCAAGAAGGAATTGCGGTAGGTATTGCACGCCGCTTTGTCGGTGATATCATTAAGTGGGTGGGGGAGATAAGAAATCAATAGGAAGACCCCCCGTTGGAATAAGTGGCAGCTTTGCATAGATTTAGATTCATAATCCAGTTCGATCACTATTAGTTGGCTTGATAAATATAATTCACACGCTATCATAAGCACAGAATGCCTCACACAATACTCCTCTATTATCCCAAAACGAGATATTGTGTCCAACTAGGTCAATACTATGCTCTGGATACTGTGGCTCCAGGCTGGTCTTCGATGACTACGCCAGCATGCCGGAAATGGCCGATTGCACTTTGTTCCCGAAATCCTACAGCCTCGACACATCCCTCAAGGAAATTATCGAACCCCTGCTCCGGGCTCTGTTCATACTTTCGCCAGTGACGCCTGATGAACGCCTTCAGCTCCGAGAAAAACTCCTCGATGGGATTTAAATCAGGTGAATAAGGTGGCAAATACATCAGCTTTACTCCAGCATCGGCACACATCTTTTTGATTTGGTCAGAATGGTGGAAGGATGCATTGTCCATGATGATCACGGATTTCGGTTCCGGCCACCTTCCACAGTGCTGAAGGAGCTGCTCGATGAAATCTTCGAACACGGTCAAATCAGTTGAGCCTTGAAATACACGAGAAAGCACAATGCCGTCTTGTGCGTACGCGGGCAAGATCTGGTATCGCTGGTCGCGATGAAATTTAGAGATCTGTAATGGCGTCTGGCCTAGCGGACACCACCCAGTGCGTCTGCAACCAATCCTTTTATCACAACCCGACTCATCCACGTAGACCAGATGGTACGACTTGAAGTCCGATATATTGTGGAGATAGAAATCGCGCAAATCAGCATTCTGTTCCTTTGCTCTCTGTCGAGCCACCTTCTTCGACCAGCCGACCGAAGCAAGAGCCCGCTTGAGACTCGAGTTTGTCACCCAAGTATGAAACTCATCCCATAGAAACAGTACCATCTCATCCACATATAATCCGGGCTTCTCGAGAAGATGGTCACAGAGAGTCTGTATCATTGGCGGTGTGATGCTTCGTCGCCGACCGACGCGAGTTGTTGGAGCTCTGACATTGCCGAACAAGCGAAGATTTTTGCGAATACTGATTATCGAACGCTGGCTACACTCAGCAGCCGCGGCCATCTGTGATGTATTCAAGGATCCGCTATATATCATGTCACGAATCATCTCCAGTTTGGAGAGAGGGAGCCGAGGCGCCATTTGCGCCGGATTGCTGGAGGTTGACCATTGTGTCGTTGGCACAACCGTGGAGAACGGTTTTCTCCATGCTCACCCTGCTCACCCCTCTGATCAGGGAGCGGACGAAATGATTTTAGATTGAACACTGGGGGGAGCTGGGGTATTGGGAAATGCACGTGACTGAGGGGCACTGCGGCTCCTGGGAAGTTATTTTGTCTTGGCGATCCGAAAGCTGCGGGTGTTGATCAGTGCTAACAGGAAGCAGACCGGTACGTTCACCTCACAAATAGACATTGCACTTGAAGCATCATTCCAATCGCCGAGGAACTGGACCTTCAAGGGGAAAACTGTTCTAATTGGTATAAAAAGAAGTGAGCTTCAAACACAAAGCTTGATCGCGCAACGTCGGTGGTAATCATTAAGGAGGTTTGGGTTAGCCTGGAAGAAGCATAATGTGGTCACGTTTTACATATGTAGACATATATTTGGAATTGTATAAAGACTGATCAAAGGCTAGAAATTGGGTTTCGCTCTGAGAGTACAAGGAATATGACACGACCTGATGAGCAGCCAATCGCCAATCTGTTTGCATATCTCGCGACGTTGTTGGAAGAACTTGGGCGATATTCTGAAGGTAGCCACAACAGCTTCAGTCCATTACAGGTTATCCAGGAACGTTCCTGGCTTAATCCGTATACATACTGCTTAAGCGGCGAGATGAAGTCGTCAGACACAGGCGTCATCGGGCCTTTCGAACCTATGTCATATGTTCTGTTTTTTGTGTGCAGAAGATTGATATCATCGTTGTCGAATTGAAGAGAGTCGACGAAGCTGATAGGAAGATTTGACACGCTCTGGCCAGCAGTCGGATCCCAGATCCTGACTGTCTTATCATAAGACGCTGATGCAAGTCCGCTTCCATCTGGTGACCAGGCAATCGATGTGACCGAGCTACTATGCCCATCGAGAGTTGATATGCTCTGGCCGGTAGCCGGATCCCAGATCCTGACTATCTTATCACCAGACGCTGAAGCGAGTCGGCTTCCATCTGGCGACCAGGCAATCGACGTGACGCCCTCGCTATGCCCGTCGAGAGCTGATACACTCTGGCCGGTAGCCGTATCCCAGATCCTGACTGTCCTATCAATTGACGCTGATGCGAGTCGGCTTCCATCTGGCGACCAGGCAATCGACGTGACGCCCTCGCTATGCCCCTCCAGGGTTGATATGCTCTGGCCGGTAGCTGGATCCCAGATCCTGACTATCTTATCAAAAGACGCTGATGCGAGTCACCGTCCATCTGGCGACCAGGCAATCGACGTGACGCCCTCGCTATGCCCATCGAGAGTTGATATACTCTGGCCGGTAGCGGGATCCCAGATCCTGACTGTCTTATCAAAAGACGCTGATGCGAGTCGCCGTCCATCTGGCGACCAGGAAATCGACCAGACCGCATCTTTGTGGCCCTCAAGAGTTTGAAGACAGGGACTCCAGTTTTCCTCTACCACAGGATGATTCAAGACCCAGTCTGCTCTCTCATCCTGAAAAGATATCCTTGCGAGACTTTTTAGTGGGCTGAAGATAAGAGGTGAACAGTAAACCTGCAAAGGACTGCTCTCAATAGCTGTCTTGTGATATCGAATAAACCTAGAGGCGTCTCGAGCTCGATTCAATAGCATTACTGACTCTTTTCTCTTCTGTTTAAGTGCGCCCCTTGTCAGAAGAGAAGATCATCTCTATTCAATTTTTACCACTCACCTCAATCAAAATCTCGAGCTTTTGCATCACTTGGATACCATCCAAAACACTTCCCAAAATACGAAGAGCTTCGAGCCAGTGGAGGAATTTATGCTGCAGAAAAGTATCTACGCGACCTCTGTTATAAACTCCCAGCTCACAAGCTCCATTAAGCAGGCTAGCTTCAAGATGGTCCATCCAGTAAACACATGAGTATTCCACCACTGCTAGTGGGTTTGGGCTAGGTTTGCAGATATCCTTCATATGGAGTCCAGGTAATTTGATGTTCCAGATATCACGTTGAAGTGTCTTGAAAATAAAGTCGAGAGATCGTCTAAATATCATGTCGTGTTCAGCCTCTATACCTCTAGGAAGGATCTCACTGAGTGCTTCCTTGAGTAAAAATTCCTTTGCAGACTGATGAACAAACACAATAGTGTGTCCCCGAACTGTTAAAAAAGATCCACAGATTGCGATTATCTCTTCAAGAGAAACAACGTCATCGTAGTCGTCGTCCGGTAGCTCAATCAATGAAGTCAGTTCGTGTAGCGTAATAGGCCGAAAAATTGTTGACATGATTGCCAGTATCTCCTTGCAGAGCTCGGCATCTTCAGATTCGCGAACCTGGCCAATCATTCGACCATATAGAGCCTCCAACCCAGGAGGAAATGATTTTAGCTTCTTGATCACATTGGTTCGTATCTTTTCAAGATTCTGGCACACCAAGGCCACCCAGAGGAAGGTATCTTGCGAGTTTGATGATAGGTAGGAATGAACGCTATCGCGAGTTTTATCGCTATATCTTCTCGCTTTTGCCAATTCGTAAACTTTATGTTGAATAAATTGATTCACTGCTTCAGATACAGACGCCTCGTTCAGCTCCAATGAGATCGGAGCTAGCTGGGTAGCAATGTCAAGCCGCTCAGTGATTTCAAGCCAGTTGCGGCTAGAAACAACCCACTTTATCTGTGGATTGACTGATGATTCCTGGACAATTAAGTCTAGAAGGAAACAGAGCCCATCGGTGCACTCATCTAAACCATCAATAACCAAATAAGTCATCTGCAGTGTCGGGTTGTTTAGAATGTCCCTGAAGATTGTTGACAGTGCGTTCCATGCATTGACATCCTCAAAGAGGGTCTTTCCTGCATAGTCGTACCGAGATCGCACATGGTGGAGAAGAGATGGATGATTCTTGACAAGTAAATATATCAACCCCCTCAGGACAGACGTAGCGCTGTTGATCCGCATGTCGGTAGCCTGACAGAAAAAGAACGAGATACTCGCATTATCCCCATACAATCGCGTCAACTCATCGATGACACCACATAGGAGCATCGTCTTGCCTTTACCAGGATCCCCCCTAATCCAGAGAAGGCGATTTCTCTCGCTGTCTTGCCATTGTTTGAATTCTTTGTTGTCTAGAATCCAGCGATATGAGTCTTTGAGTAGACCGCCCTTGGTATCCTCGATACGTTCTTTATCATCGACAGGGTTGGTGACATGCAAATCTTGTACGTGTGGAATACGTAATAGCATGGAGTGCATAAATAGTAGTGGTGTGTATTGGAGAGGAAGGTAACTACTGAGGAGAGATACTAGTGGAGCATGCAGGATGAGTCATCCACGTACACTTGTATCACATATTGCGACTTGCATTCGCTGCCAGCCCGCCGTTGAAACGTGGTTCTAACAATAAGCTAATGTGGTTGGTCCAAGGATTGCGAATGCTTGTTAGAGATGACACAGAGCCCGTATCTTATCGACGACACATCTCACTCTACGGAGTCTGAACTATGGGAATACGCTCTAACACCCGGGTACTTCGGCGGCCGTACGCTACGCGATCTATCTCAAGCCCCTCTCCGTCTAGCTTACTGGAGACTGGAATCGAGCAAACTAGTAGAGCTGGCTCTAAGTCTCTCAGATTCATTCAGCAACTCTGAGTGGGAAGAAGGAAGAGCCTACCAGGAGGACCCGCCAACCCGTATCCACCACCATTTAGAGTGGCGAGTGACAATCAACAATCGGGAGGTGTCACAGGACACGGAAGAAAACCTTACGCTGGACCCTAGCTCCTTTTGACAATTATCTATGGAGAAAACCCTCAAGAAAGTTAGCTCGACGGAAGACTGCCCGCCACGGTTGGGTGGCAGCTGATGATGATACTGTCATCACCATATTGACAACCGATCGTACTAAACGCAAACTGACGAAACGACGTCTATTGGATTAACTGAAGCGGTGCTTACCAATCTTGTAATTTCATACAGAACCGTCACGTTTAGATGTCAAGTCTAGGCCAGGTCATTGCACCAGAGCTATGTCATCTAGAGTGATGATAGATATTTAAATAATCCCAAAATCTCTGCTCCATCTAGGAAATAGAGGTGTGTCAAGTACCTATTATTACGATTCACTTCTTAACTAACGGTGATGTAAAAAATGGCCAAAATATCAATGATATTATTACTCGCTCTAGTTAGGCTGATTACAGAGTAAATATGCTAACCCTTCTCATCTAATATTGAATATATCTAGGCTCTCCTGTTTGGTCACAAAGTCCTCTGATCAAGCTCGCTGAGTGTGCTATCTGGTGCGACCGAATTACCCGAAACCAGATCTCACTTGCGTGCTTCCAGCGACAAGGGCCATGCTATATTTGTGGCCCTTTTAAAACCTCTTCGACTGAAGAAATTTGCGGTGGAAAATGCGTTGAGACATCAACTGAATCTCAAAAATGTGGAAAATGTGGGTCTATTTGTCCCATGGGCACAACCTGCATATCTGGAGTGTGCGAAGAAGAATGCATTGAGTGTACTTTTGGTCGTTGTTTTCCTGATGGCAACCCTTGTTGTATTCCAGCCGGAGGCGTTTGTGTTCCCAATGCCGCGGTGGGATGTCCTACTAATTGCCGTTGTTGCCCTGGTTCTTTTTGTGATTTTCCTAATACGGGCAGTTCAGGTACTTGTGTTGTTGGCGAGGGTGATGCTACATGCAATTGTACCTGTGCTAATGACGAGGCAGTTTGTGCTTGGATACACTTTCAAACATATCTTATTGAGAATAAGTCCTCCAAATAAGCGAAGTTATAGGTGGGAGACCCAGCATTGTAAATTTTATATTGAGACTAGTTGAATACATTATTTCATATTAATCGAGCACCTGATACACTGTATAACCGTAATAAAAGATTTTATTCGGTGGTACGATTACAAGAGGCTCCAAGAAGCTTTGTTGTATAATACCGATGACCCATTCGATATTCGGGCCCTAAGGCCGCTAATCAAATCTAGACTAGCACACTTAACATTAGGGTTTGGGAAGCAATCTGCGAGTGGAAGAAGGGGAATCTGATTTCGAACCAGGAAGTAAGAGTACTTATTGCATTTGTCCCCTAACTGCTTCCGTGGAGCTTATTAGCTTATCAGATGATAAAGTCTGATGGTTATGTTTATTGACGAAAACAAGGATGTACACCTTACAAAAGCTTAGTTTAGTGCCTTGAAAATTTGTGACATGATATTAACGTTATCCTAGACGACGGCATTCAGAACCTATAAAGCACTTTTTTTTCCCGTACTACAACATTTCTGTAGGTTGAATTATGCACCACCACCACCACCAGTACTGTCTCCACCTCCTTGAGGCGGTCCGGTACAAGCAACAAAAGGCAGGAATTAAGTAGTTAATATGTTGATTTAATAAGGACGGATAAGAAACCAACTCACAGCTGCCGCGGTACAACAAAGATCGTGTGATGGGCGACATCCACCTAGGCCCTCTAGTTATTAAATGGGGATCTTGAGCGGGTCGAGAATATCGTACTGGTACTAGCCTTGCACCCTATCCCGGCACCATAGAAGTTTTGGTGTGGCTGCAGACTAGCCCGCAGCACCAACAGCCATTCACATCGATGTCCAGTCTTTAGGAAACAGTTGAACAACGAAAAGGTGAGAAAAAAGCAATTTTCCGTCTCGGATCAGAAGAAAATTCAGTCTTGTTTTTTAATCCGATTTCCATCGTCCTTGCAGTTTCCAACATTGCTGTATACCGCATTTTTATGGAGAAAGTTCCGACCATTTTCATCACTTCTGGGTTGTACTGCTATCACAGAAGGTTGAACTTCCACCGCGCGATCAAGGAGCATAGTCGCAATGTCCCTCTTCAAATTGAAGAACTTCCTGTTCTCAGTAAACCCCTCAGTAAGTGATATTATGTCAGATATCTTTTCCCATTCTTCCAGTCCGATATGAGGCAATAGCATATTAAGGCGAAAGTATCTGTGTTTCACGCCGTACCGGGTCTGCTGATTGTCGATTCTGTCATGCACAGTCTCACAATTTGTCAGACAGTTGACAAGGTACCGGGCGACTTCAATCTCAAATGCTTTATTCGGCGCGAGAATTCCAAAAGTCCGTTCCAGCCAATTTTCTGATTTCAATGTTTCCGGATTTTGTAGTTGCAGCGCAGGTTCCAACCCCGTTCCCAGGCTGATAAGGCAAGAAATCCTACGCTTCCCTTGCCAAATATATTCAACCTCATCAATTGCAAGCTCGGCAGGATTGTTGTATCCTCCTGCGCCTCCGTCTCCATAGGTAATGTCGTCGATAGTGATGGGGAGGAAAAAGGTAGGTGCAGCCGAAGTTGCCCGTGCCATTTCCCAAATTTTCCCCCTGAATGGACTGAAAACAGGAGAGCCATAAGTGCGCATGACAGCTGGCACGTGCGCTGCCCCGCGTGTGCGAATAGCAACGGTGAATGTCTTACAAGAGGTTGGATTGGGGTTGGCGGCAAGAGCTTCAGGGTCCAATCCCAGAGGTCCCGATGAAATGATATCCTTAATCTTGTTCTCCAGCACGATATGGTCGAACTTCTCTCCATTCCTCTTTGAAAATGACGTAAAGATAGACCGGGAAAGCTTCTTGTAGCATTTAATTGCTTGCTCAACATCCTGTAATTGTTCCAGGTTATCATTTCTGGATGTCTGTTGCCTTTTTTTTTTATCACAGAGTAACAAACCATTTCAAGTCTGCCTAGCATTAGTGCGATTAGACCACCTGTGCTTGTACCACAAATCAGGTCAAAGACGTCACATGGCCGCAGGAGATCGGCCGATGGAGTGCTGTTCCTCCGCTGACGATTGACCTGGGCCATTATTTGGTCGAGGACATAGAGGGCTGATATTCCTCGTATGCCTCCCCCATCTAGGCAAAGGACTCGTACAGGGCTTTCCGTGGTCATTGTTGTCAATTTTGATGAAGCAGAAAGAGATTCAATGTATAATGCGGTAGATGAACATCATATTGAAGATGTGGTGGGCATATATTTGACATTTGTCCTCATACCGGCACGTTTTGTCCCAAGTCATGACGTCTGAATGATAATTTCAACTTGAGAGTAGCGAGTCAATGTTTCAGGGAAACACATGGCTCAGACCAGTAAGCACCCGGATTATAGAAAAAAACATACATCCAACACGCGTTAATTGGAGTACTAGCTATACAGCGGTATCATGGTATTAGGGTTCGCCTCTAACCAATTCCGGTTTAATCCGGCCTGGACGGTTCGAGACTGCAACAGGATTTTGCCGCAGTTGTGAGAAGTACCTTACCCGGTCTCATTCTAGCTGATAGAAGATTGTGGACATCTACAATGTGAGTCACTCATGCTAGGGTTCGTTTAATACAGTAGCAATGACTGTTTCGGTGTGCCTAATAAATAATCCGGACGCTTTGGATAGCAAGCTTGCGCACACTGTCGAACAGTATCAGATAAAACATGGGTTAAGGACCTGCTTGTGATTCATGAGGTGGGAGATTTACGAAACCAGGGAACGGATAGCCCCATCCAAACCTTCCGCTTTTGGAAATATTGTGGGACCGAGCAATATCATGCCTATTGGGAAGCGGTCTAGTACCGTCGGAGTGGCTGTTGGGAGAAAGAGCGCCTAGGCCTCTGTAATTGCACAAGCTCTAGGTTATTTCTATGTCACAAGTTAAAGTAGTCGATCGCTGGTACATAAACCCCTGTTTTGCCAAAGCCTGGAGCCCTCCCTCAAAAGTCCAGACGAGGCCATTCTACGTCATTCATTCTAAGATCTAAAATAACATGCACTACGTCGAGGGACCAATAACTGTTCACATAAGACGATTAATGATCTTTCCTGCTTCCGTATCTATAATCGGACAAAATGCTACGCTCTGGCTTTAAGCTTTCAAAGGCTGCCAGCGGAGTCATTTCATCACAGCTCACAGAGAGACGAAACTGTGTCATTCTTTTGTATGATTTGAGAATAGGCAAAAGAGAGGGCGAGGATCCTGTGGAGAGCCTTGTTGCTGCCTGAAAAAAAAAGATTAAAGGGAAGGGCCAGTGGAAAAACAATGGTAAAGCCTTTACGGGTAAAATACACATATTGAAGTTCCGCAGTCGTATTGAAATTATTAGCTAGACTATTTTAGAAGCGGTCTGGAGGACGGTGTTGTGGACAATGATCCAATCAGAACTCGCGTACTTCGACTGTATTTTCAAGGAATAGAGTAAGAAGATTGTGTGGTAACACTGAAGTCGAATGGTACTGTAACTGAGAGGTGTCGAGAAGTTGAGTGACGACTGGGAGGATGGAGCGGAGACAGAGCTACTGCAGATTTTGTATGGCAGTTTCGTGTAAAATAAATTCCTCGCGGTCCTATAACTGTATTGTGAAATACACAACCATTATAGAAAGCGGTCTAAAGTGACATGTGGAATATCTGATCCAATCAGAGCCCACATATGACGGGTTTATTTTCCGGCAATGAAGCGGCAAGAGCGTGGAGGTTTAGCTGATTTCGAAAACTACTGTATCATATACATAACTAGAAGCAAAATCAGCAAAGGACCATTAGGGTACTGTATGTACCAGGGATAGAAGCCTCATTCTTCCAAACATATATCAGATATCATTTTGTCTCGACCTGATCAAATGAAAGGCACTTCTGGAGCTCGAAACGCTGATCTTGCCGGATGTGTGGCGAAGAACGGGAGGTATGATTTTATTTGGAAAGTAGTCGCTATGATGAACTAAAATCAGCGCCGGTGCCCTTCTTCCTGCGTGGTCTAGTGGAACTTCACATTTGCTTTCCGAACGACGGGTTCGATTGACGCAGGGTACATCAGTTGACTTTGAGTCACAACGACGAATCCGCTTGTGTTTTCCGAATCATTTCCCGAGTATTCGCTCTGCGGATTCATTTTTACCTTTTGCCCATCTCAAATGAATGGCGAAGCCACTTTTACGGAGTCGACTGCCCTTCCCGCCAAAGTCAGCAACCGGCGTTATGGAAATTGATGGTCATCGAGGACCTGCCGCAACAGACACATGCTACGGGGGGGCAAAGGCTGAGTGCACTTTGCGCGTCGCGTCGTGCCACACCCACACTGAGAGTAACATCAGTGGCTACGTCCGATGTCAGTGAGCACGTCTCCTTCACCATATATCACAAACCGATCTGCATCTTTCAAATAACAATTGGGCCATTGTGACCGCCTTGGCAATCGACTGGCCGGACTGGCGAGGCTGCTTCTGCTGGCGAGTCCGTGCGAATCGGTGAAAGCGAGGAGGCATTCGGTCGGCTTGCCGCTGCTTTGAACATAGCATCAGGGAAAAATCGCCAACGTCATTACAGCGACTCGACGATATGGTTAGTTGGCATCCGAATTATTCTAGTGATGAGAATGTACTTACCAGGATCAATCATGAATAAGTCATGGTAGCAGCTTTACTTGATCATCTGCATCAGATCACAGGCAAGGCAATTCTTCGTTGGATATATTCAATCTACCACCAATTATCAGCAGCTGGTGCAATATGGTCGCTCGCAACTTACCTCGTTCGCGGCCTAGATGAGGTCCCCAGCTGGCTATAGTTCACTTTCTCGATCGGACTCACACGAACGGCTGAATTAGGGCTGTCTTTCACTGCCTCTCTAGGTCAATATGATTTCTGATGACCGAGGGTGTTATAAACTTGCCGTGATGCAGCCTGGCATCAACATAGGAAAACCAGGGACGAGGTAGTGGGGTCAGATCCGGGACCACTTTGTACCACTGGGAATGGACTAAGCCATACCTGCCAATGTACGGCTCTGGGCAAATATTCAACCATGCTAGGGCAAAGTATCACTAGGCAAGAGATTCATGGGTCTTTTTTTGCGACAAACGTCGACCTGGCCTCAAAATGGCTGCTCTCGCGGCGAGGGATCTATGATAGATCTAAGCCACAGCCTGCCTTATCGCTTTCTCAGCTGATATCGAGATTGAAATAACGGGCCTTGAGACCATTGCCAATAGCTCTCCTCAATATGCTGACTGATACCCCCTGGAAAAGAGTTGGTTGTCTTTTCCGTGGCGGTGGATTCTCGGCTTCTCTTCGTTGTCGCGGATGCTCCGATGGCTCGCTCGGCCATCAGTGAGGCTGGCTCATGGCTACCGACAAGCCTTCGGATCGGACGTGGGGCAGGAGGTTCATAGCTGCCAGAATATTGCGAGATACTAATTGACTGTCAACCTTTGTCCGGACAGGGTAATTCCGAAGAGACGAAGGAAAACACTTTGGAATTTTACCATATGGCTAAGCAGAGGGCATCAAGGCTTTCTGACTTGACCCGCTAATATGCCAGTGAAGTGGCCATTTCAATCATGTTTTAAGAAACAACAAAGCCGTAAGCGTAGTAATTTCAGCGGCTTGGCCCATCGGGTTGTTGAAGCCGGTTTAGTTTCGAAGACGAGGGGTCAACATAGCTCTGTCAGGTCGATATTGACACGCGCACTATGAAGAAAAAGAATCATCAGTGATAGTTCCCGAGAAACAGAAAGCCACGAACGGATAGCAATTGTACGGAGATTGAGAGGCAGTACCGGGCATGGGAATGGGAAAGGACAAAGCACTAGCGTGACTGGCAAGAAATTGAGTGACTCGTGATAGATAGAAAGTTTGCCATCCTATGTAGAGGGTCGTCAACACATTGTATTTGCCTTTGAAATTGCTGCAGTCTTTACACTTACGTTGTCAGTTATTGCTGTCCACTGCAGGGAATCGTATAAAGGATGGCAGCTAATTATCTTCAATCATTAGCAGGTAGCTTATAAAGACAACTTGTAACTCACCCTGCTCGCAGCTTGGACCATTCCAGATCCTTAAGCTGAAAATTTCGTTCAATGGCTTCTCAGAGGAATAGCGGAGGTGGGGCTAATATCGAACATTTTCCATGTTAGCTTGATTCCAAATGACTGGGCAGCTACACTCACTTGTTATTGGAAGACCTCTTGTGTCGAGAGAAGCCAGGCTAGTGCGATGCAACAAGTCAGTCAATTTCGTTGCACGATTCCGAAGTCAACATACCAAATAGTAATCACGGAGACGAAAAGTATTCGATAATCTTTGACCCAGAATCACAAAGGAATGCTTGCGAACGACTGTTTTGCTGGCGATGAACCGGGTATTTATAGCAATTCACCCAGGCATTCGGTCTGCGTCAATGATATCCCCATTGTGAATTGTGAGGGCTCAAACAAAAACTACTCTTCAATGATAACTGGCTCAACATTTCATCATTGATGCAAAGCAGCTCTCAGAGACATTGCATTTTGTTCCTGGTGATCAAGAGCATGAAAAATATTTTCTGGCTGTTGGCATTGCTTCAACAGTCATGGAGATGCCGCAGAAAAGAACTGACGACGGTCATCACCATTCACCACCGTGAGTCCGCCCTTTAATGCGACGGGTGAGGCGACGAGGTCATGCCATTTCATTTCACTCACCGGTGATGAGCCCATTACTCCACGCAACGAATGCTTCATCAAATACAGGCAAACGCAATGCCATATTGTGACCCTGAATCTCTATTAGCAAGATTGTAGGAGACTTCATTGCGTAAGTCGTATATTGGAGAAAATGCATTTCGCCTACACAACATCAAGCAGATACAAGCCATGGTGCAGCGTGGAACCGATTCGCACTGCCCACATGTCGCAAAAGAGCTCCTTGGGTCGTGAATGATCCACTAGATCAGTTATGCCTACCATCGGCCTCAATTCTGCGTAAGGCAATACCCACATGGATCTCATGGATCTCCTGGGACTTAAGTGGATGCCCGGGGGGGGGGTGGATACTATTCCTCAGAAAAATTAGCGAATGAGAGCTATCAATAGCTCGCATGCTCATCAGTCTCGAATGAAACCATTGGTTAGTATCTGGCGTTGGCTGCCAGGAGCCTATGGTGTGGTTCTGCCTGTGACTGTCGAAAGGATCGGCAGTGTTTAGAAACATTTCCCGAGCGAATCGTCCGCCCGGGATCACCAGAAATAAATAAATCGTGATACCATCTTGGACCACAAAGCCCCACTGATAGGACCCAACCAAACGCCCTCTGGTAGATATGTGAACTACATAATTATATTGTTTAAACTTGTAAATATTTTATTACATTTTAGTAATTTATCGCTACCTCAGGGAGCAATGGGTCCGTTTGCTTTTGGCGCGACATCTCATTCAAGGTCAGCATGGAGCGTAGGCTGTTTTGGTGTTGCCATGAGATTTTTCATTGATTCCTAGTCGATATTTACATATTCAGAGGTAGAGCGAGCTACAAATCTCTGTTTGACTTTCCATTATTATAGACAGTATAACGCTCTACATAATCAGGGGGACATGCGCTAGCTATTTTCGGGCCTAGTAGAATACTGGGTGTAGATTTTGCATTCCTCGAAAACAGGAATGTGGTTGGTGTCAACCGAGTACAAATGTTGTTTTTGCTGTTATTTCTCCATAATACCCTCATAATTAAAGGATCTGCTGGCTCATTCTTCGCGACCCGTGACAAACATACCGCTCGGCGATGGCACAAGTAGCCAGAACCGACATGCCGACATGGAATCCGCCTGCATCTATCATCCTCACCTCCATGCTGCTACTCGGCCACACTTCCAACAACATGTCTACACCCGGCTGTGATCTTCCAAATTCCACGTCCTCCCTTGTTGCAGGTAGCACCTGCAGGAACGCAAATTACGGTGACATGATTGATTTGCAACACGATATACCTCGCTCTCCATTTGAGCAGGATTTGGACTACCCAAAGGTGCTGCAAACGAGCATCCTCGCGTCATCCAGCTTTAGGCCACGCAGATATGCCTTGATCTACCCGTACCATTCACAGGACGGCTGCCAAACCTTGCATTCGTGGGTACCAGCGTGCACAATTTAAGCAATTGCAATAAAGGAAAGTCTGAATTTGAACTGCAGTAATACTATCGTCAGCTTCTCCCTTCTCACTGCTCCCAAGTCAATATTCTGCGAAGAGCTTAAATATAGCCGTCGCATGGAGGCGCTCAACCACGATCTGACCAACCGAAACCTCCACCGGCCCTAAGGAGCGCAAAAGCCGACCGAATCTTCTGCCTTCCCTCAAACATCCGCCTCATCGACATCATGCCGGAGTCGTCATCTCTACAGCTCCTCTTTGCGGGGGGGCATCAATCCCTCAGCGATAGACAATAGCTTAACAAGATCCGAGCCCGATACTTATCCCCAGTCTCCTGAGCCCCTGTCTCTTGCTAGTAATGGACCATCAATACCACAGTATATGCTAAATAATCTTAGCTTCGAGACGCCCTTCCAAACGGAGAAGAAGAGTCATAAGTGCAACACATGCCTCAAGCGGTTCCAGCGTCCGTCTTCACTGCAGATGCACACTTTCGGCCACACCGGGGAGAAGCGTGAGTCAAGCACATTATAGCAGACGAAAATCCTAGGTTGACAGAAATACAGCATTTATACGTGATTTGGAAGGTTCTGGGTGACGATTTTCCGTGCGTTCAAACCTGCGCCGGCAGCAGATGATCCATAGGCGTGACATTAATTGAAATGCCTTCATGTCTTTACCATACGGCTTTCGAATGGATGAGTTAATAGCACTTCTAAAAATTTCACAATCAGAATCAATTGTAAAGGACGCAATTTAAATGTTTGAAATGAAGACTATTCCACTGACTAAAATTTTCACTTGTATTCTCTCACAGCGAATCGCACCTCAAGATCCTCAATTTGGTGGGACAATCTCTCATTCCGTTGTCTTGCTGCATCTTTCATATGTTGAATGCAGTCTTCCAGGTCGACCTTGTCTCGTTCGAAAAGCTGCAGTATGCTTGTCATGTTATTTCTCTCCAGCTGCAGCATGTTGAAATCGTATCCAATCCTTGCAAGGGCAGCCTCAATCCAGTCTTTTCTGCCATAGACTCCTGTACGTTAAAGCATGATTAACTAAAACCTTCTTCAAAAAACTTCCATGACTGACTATGATGTTGCGACTCATGAGAATCTAGATAGGCAAGCTGAGTAGCTTTGTCAGATGGCATATCGAGCTATCGTTCTTGTCTACTTGATTTGATGATTTTCAAAGGTGTAGTTTTAGCCGTTAGCCGAAAGCTAGGCAGGAGAAAGAAGGACATGGGGAATGCGAGCACGCACTAGCATTCAGTCTATGGTGACGTCACCACTAATGTCCCGTCTAAGATACAAGATTGCTGATAGTAAGACGCTGATTAAGACTCATCAAAGAAAGCATAGACTTGAAACAGAATCCATACTTATGTACGAAGACAACGACGTAGTTTATTATTATCTATCTCAGTGACATATGCAGAGCTGAAAGGCCGTTTGTTTACTCTCTTGAGACTTAACTAAAGGGAGGTCAGCTCGACATTGGCGATATTGCGCTAATTGGCCATGATCGGGAGTCGGTAGCGCGCATTTGTGGGTTATATGTACAGTAGTTCAAGAGGGCAAAATAACCTTGATCTCCCTGCTCTCAAAAGATTCTAGCAGTGTTTTGATGGCCAAATAGTTGACGTATAGACTCGGGGCTGTTCTTTGCTAGAGGAGACCAGAAAATAAGAAGAAATCTTTTCGAGAAATCTAACGACGCAATTAAATATTCGTCAGGAGTATTATTGCTACTAGATAGCTTACCAATGAGATCTTCGAAAGAGACAAGCCGTCTGATTTCTTTATTCTCACTCAAAATTTGAGCCATGAGATCCAATCCAGGGATAGCGAGAAAGAGAGATGAGCTCTTCGCCTGAAATTGAGGGACAGTATATGTAGAACTTGTGCATAATAGACTACACTATTTATCTCACTGAACGATGATGAAGGGGAACTCTACTCGAAGAAAGCCTGGTCGACATTATATTAAGATTTAGTTATGTTGCAAATCTGGCTCCCTAAAAGCGCAACCGCAGAATAAGTCAACTTCATTTCCGTATCTAGGACTACCTCTCAATATCAGATCAAATCCATCAAATCTATCTGAAGAAGACCAAACTGATACAAGCTATGACTCCGAGTGGTAGGATCTGACCCGAACAGCCTCGTCTCACAATATACTCTCTTGTTCTCCCGCCAGATCTCGATGCACCAATCTTCTCATGACTTTTGCATTTTGAACTTTGTGTGTTCATCTCTAAGCTTCGCTCACTCAGGCTGGATAGCTTGGGGCCGAGAATATATGCGTAAGGGTAGCGCTCAGATAGATAAGCTAGAATAGTTAGTTGCTGGAGAAGAACCTTTGGTACTCAGCAGCTTACCTTGCCAGCACAAAAGCTAAATCTTGATTCGAATTGGAACAATGGCCAAATTTACATCCTTCACACAATTCACTGTCGTGCGGCCCTCTGCTCTGGCCAGACAGATCAGGCGGCCGTACCTCAATTCCATTCCACTTTTTGAGCCAATAAGTCACTCTTTCCACATAGCTTCCGGTATCTAGGACTAGTCGGCCGACTGATTTGCAATTTCTGCATCTTTGGTGATACACTCGTGCATTATAACGCTGCTGTGGGTACATTCGAATAGTAATCGCGACTTTCTTGCTCGACCAACCGCTGGATTTACATCCAGCGTTTGGACATATAAATCGACCCATAACGTTGCTGTCCCTGTACTTGATGTTGGTTGTCTCGTCATCGGTGTCCAAGAAATCTATTTCAAGCCCTTCTTCGTCTAACACCTGCGCGAAATCGTCATGGAACTTAGGGTGGAGCGACCACAGTTTCGCAGCTTTGCGTCCCTTGCGTGGCATTTTGCTCGATATCGGTCGCGTGAATATTTTAGTATTTTACGTATATCAAGGATCTGCGCTGAAAACCAGGATTATGATCGGAAATCGGCCTTGGGTAGGCATATAAATACATCTTTTGGGGGGATATCCTACCCCGCTCCACATCAGCAAATGTACCTCCTGACGACAACGCATCGCTGCCGTAGCACGATTTGATTGGTAAACATGCCTCTTTGGTGTAACCCGAGATCAGACGCGCAGCTAGGGTAAAGATCAAAGCAAGGGATTGAAATCACATATTGATGAGTAGGTAAACTTGTAAAATTTCGCATACTGTATACGTGGTCTTGCGAAAACCAACCTGATAGAGTAGTCAATTTTACAACTAGAATATGAGGACCTGTGAAATCGACGCCGAAAATGGCTCTCCTTTGCAGCCCTGTCTATACGCTCTCTCTTTTCGTCTTGTCTCGCCGGACGCCTATAAGATGGCTCTCCTCCTTCCTCTCTCTCTCAGTGACCCTAAGTCTCTCTTTATTACTAACGCTTACTTCTTAAATCAACTTTGACAACCTTGTTGTCTGTAACTCTGGATTCTTACCTCAGTTATCTATCCTGGCTTTTCTCGATGGTACCTGTGCTTTTTCAGTCGGCTGAGGAAGATAAGTACTAGTACTAGACTGACCCTATCCTTTACAAGGAAACTCGAGCCAGACTGGAATATTTTCGTTGTGCTAGATAGCTACCGGTAAACTTTAAGCCAAGGACCTTGCTAAGTATTGCTGTTGTTAAATGCTACTAGCGAAAGTAAGTATGGTTATTCTTAGAATTAGGTATTGTAGGTAGGGTTAACTCATAAAAATTGTCACGGGATCTATCGAATTGGCAGTAACCCATAGTTCCATCGGGGTCGAAAGAGATCCGACGTATTCCTATCAAGATATCCGATAAGATCGTAATACAGAGCCGACGGAGGTTGGTCTCGCCGGCAGTATCGGATGATATGGGGCTATGACGATATCGATACTACTCTGATTTAAACTCGATCCGAGATCTCCGGACTCTTTGTTAAATTAAGCAGTCGATAGCTACTCGATTCTTTGAAGGATCCTCAAGAATCAGTTTTATTGTCTACTACAAATTATAGCTTTCAAATCTCTATCTATTATTTAATCAACTGGTTACTAGCCAGCCCCTTAGTACCATTACAAGGATATTCCTTAGAATTTTCGATAGTACACTCCAGACATTGATATCCTTAAACAGAGCCTTTCTAGCATAATCGTACTAGATTGTATATAGTAGAGGAGAGATAGATACTTTTCGATAAGTAAATATATTAACCCCCTTAGGACAGACGTAGTACTGTTGATTTGTGTATCGGTAGCCTAGCAGAAAAAGAACATGATATTTCTACTGTCTCTATATAATCTTATCAACTCTTCGATAACACTGTATCGGAGTATTGTCTTACCTTTACCAGGATTACCCCTAATCTAGAGAAGATAGTTTCTCTTACTGTCTTGCTATTGTTTGAACTCTTTATTGTCTAGAATCTAGAGATATAAATCTTCGAGTAGCCCACCGTTAGTAACCTTAATCTGTTCCTTATCGTCGATAGGATTGGCTGTATATAAATCGCAAAGGTATACTTAATCTAGCGTTTCGGATTGTACTAAAGCCGACTACTATTTACTAACCGTTAATTATGGTTACTTAGATTTTTTACTTACCAATTATAATATTCCCGATATTCCCGTATATTACTCCTGCCTATAATCCAGAGTTTCTTTCGCCTTAGGAAATAGTAGTCGATATAGCGGCTGTACAAGAGTTTAGAAGAGGCTCAAATCTACGTATAGATCTCTCAGTCCCCAGTCTACCCCGCCATCAAGTAATCTGATAAGAGACAGAAGAAACTAACCGCCTTGATCTTATACCCTATACTTACCTTGAAAATAATGTATCTTTATATTTACACTATTCAGGAGTTCAATACGCAAACTCACCGCTATCTGACTCGAAGTTGTCGCAGAAAACCAAAGCCCTGGTTAAAGTAACGAACCTCGTAGTTAACCACAGCGTACGATTGTATTTGTGTTTCAGAAAAGTTACAACCCTACTAATCCTATAATTCATAGTAACAAAGGATTTCAAGTTCCAAAAACAGACAGCATCCAAGGGACTAGTTTGTTTCAGAGTAGAGTTCAGGAAGGAAAAGAAAAGAATACAAAGGTCAAGCTAATTTCGAGCACGCCTGTATATATGTACCGTTATGTTCGACACTTGATCATAATAACCGAGTGGGGCGGTCAGAAAGCCATGCGCAGGCCCAAAACTGTGCCGCAGGCCCAAAACCATGTCGTGAGAAGAACAAACGTACCGCTCCTAGCTAATATCGAGATTTGCTGAGAGTTTGCTTGGATTAGACATGATCCGCGAAAGAATAAGGATTACATTGGTAGCAATTTTTATAGCAGGAGGTTATATCCTTCGAAAAGCTGTAACAACACAAGTTCTCAGTGAGATTTTATTTTCTATACTCCTATAATTGAGTATATATTCTACCACCCAATACTTCTTAAGATGAGAGCCACGAGCCAGAAAGGGGCTGTCACCCAGTCCTGTGCTTCATGCCTGAAAAGTGATTATCGATGAACTAAGGTCATAACTTGTTCATACGACCCCGGTTCACGCTTCGCTGCAATTTTGTCATTTTTCCTCTCAGCCAAGAGACGAATCAATATATTTACCGTATGCAAGATTTGTAAGGGTGAAAACGGATGTTTCTCGCGAGAAGATCAACTCCGTATGGCGCTGAAGAAAAGGGATCAGACTTCCTTCAAATCAAATATTTTATGGGCGCGGTCGCAGTGGGATCTCTGGCTTTCTTGCGACGAATGCTAAGTATTGAATGAACCAATGAAGGATAACAGGGACCTTGTTCCTTTTTTGGGATATTTTAGGGTATTTTAGGACGATCATTATTCTTAGGGTTTTGGTTTTGATCTTAATATTGACAGTTGGTTTGGTTGAAGTTTGCAATTACCTGTATCACCAACGCAGGGTTGCTCAGCTCACGGCGGATAGTGATTGGCTGGCGAATGAGGAGTTGATGTCTAAATCTCCGGAGATAGCGAAAAAGCCTTAGCAGCTTCTTGGTATTCCAGCTAGTCCTTACCGCGACCCCTATTGGTTTGCGAACGACGATACAGTCCACGCTAACGAAGATATTGTGGTGAGTTAATTTACTATATTAATTATGTATGTGTATACGTTTGGTTATTTGAATTCTCTTGCAACGTATTGAGAAATAATTGTGGAGATCCCGAATGAAATAGCCTAGAAAGAGCGCTGGCTAAGTTATCCTACTTGATGATTTGAAGTTCACTGATCCATACATATATCCTTTATATGCAAACGATGTACTATTGACACGCCGAACACACCCGTTCAGATAATATACCCCGCTTTAATGATCGTTCAAAATTTCAGACTGAATATTTGACAACCAAGTCTTACATTTCAGCACCTAGCTATACATTCGCTTTGGCACCAACAGAAGCATTCCAATAAACATCGGTGGGTATCGCTGGAAGAGACCATCATATCTAGACAGACACCGCGGTTAGCAAATTAACATATGATGTAGGAAATGAAACAGGATACACAACATACTGGACTAGCAAAGAAGGGGCCTCCAAGTCGGTAGTTTAAGAACTTGAAGGTTTTTATTTCGAGCATTTGCATTCTTTAATCTCTTGTTTGCAACCGAAACACCAACTCATAGTGTGTGATTTTTGGTGGATTTTCGGTGGATTTCACAGTGTGCGGTCTGTATTATGAAGCAAGGTTGTGGAAGGTCTGTCTCAAACACGCATAAACGACAGGGAGTATGGCAGGGTTATATACGGCAACTTTTCTCGGGCGCTGGGATTATGTACACGTGGACAGGTCTATCGTATGCAGTGTAGTATGTTTGTCTAAATGTCAAGTCCAATAGTATTACCACACGTTCGCTCAGCTATGATATCATCTTACCGGATGACGATTACCTACTGCACCCAAGTGGTGATTTAGTCGATTATTGGTCGCAATGTAATCTTACTTGCATAGGTGCTGCGAAGTCGACAGGTTTGAGGTGTCTGCCAAGAAAGTGATTGTGTGATTGTGGTGCATATACGCGGTCGTACACCTTAGTTTTGAGGGATTTGAGTGCTCAGCCGGGGAAGTCGAGGCTACCCCGCTGCCAACACAAGCAAGCACCCATGTCATACTAGTATCCCTGAACCCGTGGAATATTGCAATACATATTGTTGCAGAACTGCCGCAAGAATTTCGTGCTCGGCAATCTTTCCCAAGATTTGCCGACGCCAAGCAATCGCGTTATGTATGGGCCAGCCCATATTAAAACAGATCTGCAAGAATACGACAGTCACCGCCCTCAACATGTCAGTTTATGCAGTTTGCTTCAATATACGCAGTTTTATAAGGCAAATAACACTTGAAGAAAAATAGAAGGTAGAAGAATCCTCTGTTTCTGTTATATAGCATTCAGTTGCTATACAATTTTTAGGGCACACGAATGCCCAATTCTATATCTCAGGAACCACGCCAGTTGGCAACTTCTAGTATTTTGTATATTCTAAGTAGCTTCACGCGCTATAATTTGAGCCTAGATTGGTATCTCTAGGCCTATTATACCGCTCCCGTACGTGGAAAAAGCTGTTCAGCGGCCCTCAGGGACCTCATGAGCGGTGTAGAAAAATTTGCAATCGAACAGAGAACGTGTTCAGAACCTTAATCGGAGCGCTACGGAGATGTTGCAAGAGGCTAGCAACAGCCCGTCGTCGAAACTATTCAAGTCTAAAAAGGTGTTGGGCATCCTCGAAACGGTAAGGAGCCTAACCAACGACCTTGTTTAATTGCCTCTGAACGACTAGTGTTATAAGCTCGAAGCGCTACGTTAGGATCTCTACAAGGAGATATAGGTGGTTAAAATTACTGTTACAGAGCTCTTAACGTATTTAAGCACTGCCTTATTTGCTAAAATAGTAATAGAAGCGCCTATGCTGATGTATTAGCTCTTGATATTAGGCTCGTTTGTCACGGGATTCAGAGTATACAACACCTTAGGTATTCAACATCGATCCGAAACCGAATTCCTTTCGAGTCGCCTGTATATCAATATCCACCCGAAACCTAATGTATTTAAGATCCTATAAGTATTCAGGATTCTTGATTTCTTCGAGAATCAGTTCTGTATATTAACTACTTAATCTGAACTCTACTGTTTGATACCCTTGTCTAGTTATAGGTCTCTAGCCTGACAACTTAGTAACTATTACATTGTTAATCTCTCTAGTATCTCCTAGCCTTGTAGTATATAACTAGAATGTGAGGGGCTACAGCCGAATTGATTCAATTGAGCGGTGCCAACATGCAGTCTATCTAAAGCTTAGAGAAGTGTAAGAAAAAGGGGCGACCCGCGGCGAGTAAATGTCCTGGGGAACTGATAGATCACATCGCACAGGCTAAGCCTGGGCCATAGATTGGGACCTGTCCCGTTACAATATACTTATATAGAGTAACTAAGTATACTAACTATGAATATTATCCTATAACAGATCTAGTTAAGATATAACTAAGATTTAGTTAAAGATATAACTAAAGATAAATATATTATAACTAAGGATAAATTTAACTATTTTAGGTAAATAATCCTAGGACCCCGATGACAGTTCCCAGCGTGTTTTAGTGATCGAACCAGGGCAATGGCGTCGTTCAGCCTTACTGGAGGATGGTCAGAAGGCGATCAATGGGGCTTATTCAGGGCCATAAACCCTCAGGAATGCACACAAGAGCTTTACTATTGAACATGGCTACATCGCGGTCTACCATTATGTCGACGAGTTGTCCAAATCCAGTTATGATAAGGCAATTAAGATAATTCGAAGAGACACTGCTTTCAGCGTTGGCCAAGTAATACAGACCAACTACAACGAAACTATTTTTGGCCAATAATCCTCAAATGCGCCGCTTTGAACCCGCAACGTTGCCCCCCGCAAAGTGTCTGGTCGATAGATTATCAATGGCGGAAAAAGCTGCTACCAGGAGATTCATGGAGGATATCGGGCATAGCTTGGGCTCTGAGAATAAGCGACAATGTCGTATTTTCTGGAAGAGTTTGTATGAGATATATAAGGCAGGGATTTATAAAGTGCTTCTCTGCCGTTTGAAGGAATTTGACAACTTTTGTAAAAGCTATTCTAGGGCAGCGGAAATCTCACTTGTGAATAAAGTTTTAAAGTGGGAAAAGAAATATCTCCCTTATATTGAGTGATTAGAAACGCGGATCTTATTACTGATTGTAGGGGACTCGAAACGTCTCAGCTACCTTAATGACCCTTAAGTGTGAGGGCTCTTGAAGGTTCTGGAGACCTTGTGGAATAATGCATATACTGAGTAGGCTACTATTGCTGAAAAGGAAGCTTTCAAAATGTGCGCCGTAGATTCTATTTCTGCTGATAATCTAGGTATAAGATACAGTAATGAATTGGTGTTTAAAGGTGGGACTGATAAATCTGCTTTTGTCACTCTTTTGCCAAAAGAAGACAGGACTTTGTCTGTATCGTCTATTGCCTCTATTTGCAAAGGAGACTTCTTAGGCATATTTGCTGGTACAGTTTGTTTCTCTGAGGATCTCAGTATAACCTATAGTATTCCTGGACCTTCTGGGAGACTTGAGCTTAATTATTCTCAAGTTACAGGGGTACTGAACCAGATATAGGTATCTGAACCTGGTGGTAAAGTAAATGTGTGCCTTCATTGGGATATTTTCTGTGGTGACGTCGTAACATAGTCTGACATTTCGTGGTGAGTCTCTGTTATAGCTATCAAACAAATTATGCTATTTGAGCCTCTAAGTCGTATGGCTGCTCAGCACGAGCAATATGAAATATACTTGTCGTCTGGAAATGCCGAAAGAGGCTTTCTCGAAATTGCCATCAGCCAGTGATTAACGGCTCCGAAATTCTCCATTTCTCTTTCATGAATTGTAGATGTTTTTCGTTCATATTAATCAGGAAAACTCAACCTACTAAACATTGAAGCGCTTTCTCCTCTCTTATCTTTTTTGTGGGTTCCGATCGTACGCTACAGAGCGCACAGTGGTTGGGAGGCATGACCGAGAAAGAATCCCAATGGAGGCTTATCATTGAGGCCAAATGGTTAAATAAGGCTCGCCTGCTAACGCTGAAGGGGAAGATAAGTTACTGTAAAAGAAGGATTTTCTTATCGGTCGGTATCGCAACTTCATTCCAGGGCAAAACATTCCTCTCAACAGACTCCATTCTTTTGACTTTCGTTCGGCAACTCTTCAGGAGGCTTTTAAATTACACAAAATCGAACTAGAAGTTGCAAAAGCTCTTCTTCAACATCTTCCAAAGACACCTGACGGCTAGAGTTCCCCATCTGTGGCATACAAAATTCACAGCAGCCGAGTCGACAGACATAATGTACACCTCGCGGAACTTGGTACACCTCGCGGAACTTGGCGATAGCGCCCTGCAACTTGTCGTTTGCTGGAAACACCACAAGAACAGACCGGATTATCGGGATCATTCCCACGGATATCATTGAAACTAAGAATTTATTGCACGGAACACATTTAAAATATGATCGACCTGCATTGTTGTTGCGGTTCGAAGTTTTCGTCACGAACTCGTCGCTAGGCTTGCCGCATCTCATGCAATCGGGTCCACTATCCGGTGCAGGAACCAACGGTACAAAAGTTGTGTGGAGACGCATTCTCGTTTGTGTGAGTCGGTAATCGATTATTTAAAGTCAGTTTGCCCCTTTTCAGAGTATTCCAATCCTCAAGTGAAGACCTGCCGCAGGGATCACCATCCCCTAGGGGATTTCATCCTTGAGTCTCAATCCACCTACGGGCAAGATGGCCCCGTGGATTGGTTGTCGTGGGGCCCACAATCCCCTGGGGGAATTCATCCCGCGGTCCAAGCCCACCCACGGGCAAGTTAGCCCTGTGGAATTTCTCCCCGAAGATTGTCCCTCCTGGTGTTCTCATGGTGTTCTATTTGTGAACCTTTTTTACAAAAGGTATTGGGCAGAGGCCTATGTACTACGTAGGAGATCAGTCTACATAGTGGCCTTTACATAGAGAAGGAGCTTATGTAGGTGCTTCTACGTAGGGAATCAGTCCACATAGGGGCTTCTACGTAGAGCAGAGGCCTATGTAGGTGCTCCTACGTATGAAATCAGATCATGCGCTTGTCTTTCAACCACCTTTTTGAGGGCCGCAGGTTTGAGAGGGGCCACAAAGCTCCTTCAATATTTAGAAGTTCTCGCAGGAATAACCACGTTTCTTTCTAGTGTACCGCATTTTTCTCCCTTGTGTTGCTATTGAGAACAACCACGCCTTCCACAGGCGGGCAGGTCCGCCTCGTCTGATAGAATTCGTCGTGAGAAGGACCACGGTTTCCCCTCTTCAAAGGATCAGAGAATCGTGTGCAGCCCTGGTTCTTCAGATAGAGCTGTTCGTACGATGGACCATGATTCTCCTTACCCCAAGCTATCGTGCGCAGTCCTGGCCCTTCCGATACACTTCGGTGGGTCCTCTTTGCAAACTGCACACTAATCGTGAACCTTGAAGTCTGAGTCGTGACATCTGGATAAAGCGGCGGCACAGGCCGCCGCAGATCGCTAGTTCACAAACGCACAATCACTCCCAATTATCAGGAGCACACCTTCAATGTCTTCGGAAGCATGTTGTGAAAAATGATCTTTCAGATCTAGCAAATTGGCCGATCTTGGAACGGATTCAACCCAAAGTGAACGACATGATGGGTCAGCTCTGTTCGAGTTGCTTAGAAAGGTGGATATTGGATTGGCCAAACTGTGTGGTTCTGCAAACATGGAAATGAGCTCAGTTTCATCACGATATCCTCGCCAGCTAGCTCCTCGCCAGCTAGCACTTACTGGAGGAGATGGAGTTAGATTGCTGCAAAGCCGTTGTTCTGGAGCCATCGACGATGATTTACATGGGATTGTTTGCCCACAGCCCTAATGTTCGATCGGTTGGATCTTAGCGGCATGTCATAAATTGTAGATCCATGAGCATAGCCCCTCTGGTCGCAAAAGGCGGCTGATGAGGATAAAACGGCTGTCTTGATGCCGGGTATTTTGTGAGGTACAGGGATGATAAGCAAGAGCCGAAGGGATTCCATAACACATCTCACCTTCCGCATTTTGCATCTGGCTATAGGCCAGCGAAGACGAGGTAAAAGGAAGATAAGCTGGTGATGGAATTAGGCGAATTAGGCGTTGCTTATCATATGGAGGAGTGGATTGAATTCCGAAAGATGGCGGAGGGTAAACCATTTTCCCGAGACCACAGTTTTTATTGCAAAGATACAGTAAATTGACAAGAATTTTCATGTCGTTTGATGTGACAACTTTGACAGCTCTTGATCCTCGCGCGGTCAGAAGTATTTATTGTGGGATGATACACACATTACACAACATAGTCTCGCGACACCTTTTGCAATTCCTTCTCCTTAAACTTCCACAGATAATTATACATATACTCGTGGTCCCTTTGCGAACGTGCTCGCTCTACGGTACCAGCGTTGAAGCCAACGAGCCCCGCGGTGAGGGGAAGGAGCAGTGATGCGATTCATGCATGCAAGTGCAGGGTATTTTGCGACGTAAGTCAGCCTCTGGTCGTCAACCACGGGACTCATAGCCAGGTGCAGAATATCCAAGCCGTTACGTGTCAAGTAAAGCAGCGGATCAGTGGACCGAGACGCGAGATAGGTTAATATCTCCGCGAGAGCTTATTATTCGCTTTGGTTGGCTTCAAGGTCCGTCTTTTGTTCGGCTAGTCCGGACTCTAGATCTGCACTTCTCTTAGAATCTATAAAGCACTATATTCTACTAGTAATTACTAGTACTGGCCCCGTGACCTTGTGGCCCCGTGGCCCCGCTAGCTACAAACTGCGGATTTTTTGATGAAGAAGAAACTTCATATTATCTATATAGTACTAGTATCCCTTTGACACCCTGTCAACTCAAGATCTACCGACGTATATGATCTGTGATTCTCCTAAAATCAAGCACTTGAGGGATAGACTGATCTCAACTTTGGATATAATTCTCAGTAGTAATTTCATTGACAGTACAATAAGTGCACCAGGCCTTGCCTGGGCAAAGATTCAAAGTATAGTAACATTTGAAATAGAGACCAAGGCAAAGAGATAACAAGCGGAGACAAGCAGTATAAAGACTAAGAGGAGGGATGGCCACCTGGGCATGTACGAGGTAGCCCTCACCAACCACGTGAATCCGCCCGGCTGTACATGCATTAAAAACTTGCCAAGAAATAAGCGAAAGTTCTTGAACCGAAAAGAAATTTGAGCCTGCAAACATTAGGTAATAAATGTCGCCTATAAATCGAATTTTGAGATGAGGGGTAAGGTAGGCTTGTAAACGCACTTCGAGTCACCTCTTGCTGAGCACGCTGCCCACTCATTGGGCCTCTTGATAATTCCAATTAAAAACCCGGAGCAGAGGTCACAATGAAGAAAAGAACTGTCTTAATAATAGGTATTTTCCTTTCAACGAAGTACACACGGGCAGTCAAGAATGCTAAGTTATTTTCCAGGCGCCAACCAAGGTATTGGCCTTGGCCTTGCGCACAAATTTTTTGAAGAAGGATGGGAGGTTTTTGGATCAGTGAGGCCGCAAACTATCAACAGCCCATCACTTTCAGATGTAAGTGGACAGTAATTTCGAGGTTTTTTGTCGAAGATACAATTTGATTCCTGCGGGCAGCTACAAGGGTAATAGCGGAAAGGGGTAACTAATCCGACCACTGGTATTAATGAATGTAGCTCCGCAAAGTTGCCTCTAAGATTTTCGAAATTGATTATCTGGACGAGAGTCTAATCGCTCGGGCCGCTCGCGAATATGGCGATGGGCCGTTGGACTGCCTAGTAAACTGTGCAGGTACGTCTTCAGTCTCTTGATAGAAGAAGCGTGACCTTATATACAATCGAACAAGCAGGCGTGAGCCAAGGACCTGAACTATGGCAGGAATATGACAGCCAAATATTGACGGAATGGTTTCGGATCATGGTAGTCGGACCATTCCTGACGACTAAGTACTTTGAATCGAACCTCGAAAAAAGCGAATTTGGTGGGAAGCTTGTCAATATCTCTTCACCACTGGGATCTATTAGCGGTGAGTAAATACTATTAATTCGATCAGAATCTTAACTGAGGCCGTTGATTGATCGTTTAGAAAACTATCGAGGCACGAAGTTTGGGTACAAGATAGCTAAGGCCGCTCTTAACCAAGAGACGCGGACTATCGCAATGGACCTGAAAGGGCGCAAGAGTAGTATTAGTGTCATGGCAATTGACCCTGGAGCGGTTCCAACGAGTCTCTCGAGATGGAGAGGTAATATCACGGTCGAGGAGTCTTCAAGTGGAATCTACGCTGTAATTGACCGGGTGGGAGTTTCCGAGACAGGCGGATTTTGGAGTTGGAACGGCGAAGAATACCCTTTCTGATAACGCGATTTGAGCAGCCATTAGTAGGGGTTCTAATACTAGTTTTACGATCATTCTACATGTATGTACGGCATCCTCTGATCGACTGAAGTTTCAGTTTCCCATGCATGCATATATTCATACCAGATCAATCTCTCGGCTAGTACAAGAATTAGAATCCTTTTTGTGGGCTTCTCCGCAGGCTCAAAAATCATTGTATCATCACTATCACTGCCCAGTTGGGAGTAAACATTCGAATGGATGACAAGCGGTAGTAAAACTGATTATTAACTAGATGTATAGGTGTTAATCAATCCGTCCATTAAATATGTGGACTGGTAGATTGTAATCATACGTATCAATTTATATAAATACTACGTATTCGGAATGGATCTTGGCTGGGCCTGGGGTCTTTCCGATCAGGAGTCTATTCCTAGTATGGATGCCGCCCGTCTTCAAATTCTTTTAGCCATCTTCAGCAATTATTGTTAATATCTTCCTAATGGTTCATGAACTTGATTTCTTTACCGGGAATGTGAAAAGACCATCGATTTAGAGGGAATGATGTCACACCTCATATTTCTGAATGTAATCTCGTGTATGAACGCTTGAAATTCACACGCTAGGTACCTCGCTAAGGTTTATTGAAATCTTATTCACATACAAATTGGCGCCCGAACTTCTTATATAGCACGCACATAGATGGATACGCACCTGGGGCTCGCTATACGACCTTGACAACCTTCCAATGTTGGAAATATTCAAGGTTGTAGAGGATTTCAATCGAAAGCTACCAAATTATACCTAAATTGACAGGTGAAACATTTGAACCTGAGTCTGACTTAAGCCCCCTTTTATCATCTATCTAGCCCAGAGGCTGACTAGTTCATCAAATGCCGATTCATCATTCATTCGGTCATCATCCATTCCAATGAGCTCCTTCCTCAATGATTTTGCCTTTTGGAGAACATTTTGAGCTGTACCGAGTTCGCCCAAAAGCCGCAAGACGCAACCTTTCTTGTACATTGTCCGAGCAATTTCCCCTTTCCGAAAGCCTTGGTCGGAACCCGATTGATAGATATCAAGTGCTGCTTGAAGATAATCCCTAATGTTTTAGTTTAAGATCAGCTTCAAGATATAATACTCAAAACATGAGCATTCAATCTAGATTGATGCAACTTCGACGGTCTGGGACTCACCTTGCTTTCTCATCTTCGCCCATTCTCGAAAGATGCCATCCAATCTTGTGGTATGCATCTGCAGTCTTGTGATGAGCAGTGCCGAATGTAACTTCCCAGTTGCGCACAGTCTTCAGATGTAGCTCGTAAGCCTCATCCAAAAGCCCCTGTCCGACCCGGATATTTCCAAGAACGTAGAATGCATGGCCAGGGCTGTTTCTTGAGTCAGCAAGAAAGAATATAGTCAGGTAGAGGCCCAAATATGCCACTCACACATAGTCTTCCGTATCCTCAGGCTGACCAAAGTCCTTCTCCCTCTGCTCAATAATACCCAGAAGGTTCTTCGCAGCTTCGTCGTACCGCGATGACCCCTGAGACCACAAGCAACGGTTCAAGTTCACATCATAGACTGGATCAGTGTCGTTAGGCTGTTTGAGAGAAATACATTTGTAGTAAACCTGCTCCGCCTCGGTTTGACGCCCGAGTCCATTTAATGAATTTGCGATGCCTCCATAAAGGCACTCCTCGGTCTGTAAGCGGGTTGGAATACCGGTAATTCCTCGTCTGGTACCTTCATCAAACCAATGAAGGCCTAGCTTGAAATACTTGAGTGAGCTGGAAAAATTCCCTACTTCGGTTTCAATACAGGCTCGCGCGTAATATAGCTGGACCGTTTCGATGATAGTCGCATTTCCATCTCCAATGAGGCGTGAATGTCCACCTTGACTTGTTAAAATGCGCTCTCCGGTATCTAGGAGTGGTATTCCAAGACCAAATAAGCTTCTTTTGTAACAAAGCCTATTAAAGAAATTCTATGAGTGTATGAATGGTACGAGACGAGGGGTGGGAGAACTAACCAAGCGCCTTTCCGGAGTAGCTCAATGAAGCTGAGTGGGACATTGAACTCGTCAACATCTGCACCAGCCTCAATTTCATTGTAAAAGTCGTGAATGGATTGAACATGCGGAAAGTAATTCGTGTATTGGGTGCGTATCTTGGGCCAGTCAAGCTCCCACCCATTACTGATCACCTCGCTAAGTGCGACAGTGGCTGATTTGAAGGATTCCTGGGATGATGATGAACTCATGTGAAGTTGTGTACACACCTTCAAAACCCTATGCATGTTGAAAGAACGAAATTCATCATCTGCCATCATTTCATTCCTTCCGATGAGCCCCTTCAGAAGTTTCCCTATGCACTTGACACGGTCTTTGACATATCCTGGGTTTCCCAATCGCACTTTCACCGTTTCCCTCGAAAATATCTCCTCTTGAATTTTGTCAGGATCCAATAAAGAGAAAAGTTCGATCATCTCGCGAGAGTTGGAGTCGAGACCGTCAAGCGCTTCGAGAAACGTCATATCCAACGCCTTTTCGTAAGAGGCGTAGGGGGTGCTAACATCGTTTTGTGATGCCTCTTCCAATACCGATCGTACATGACCCCACTGCTCACTGTAAAATCTCAAGGGACTGCGATTACCATTCATCAGACCAATACAAGCCTGGATTCCGAGGGGTAAACAGCCCAAATGTTGGACGACCACTCGAGCTTCGGCTTCATCGTTTGGCCTGCGTAAGTCTTCATCAAGGTGGCTCAGAAGCATCCCAACAGCGGCATCTTCATCAAACTCTCGAAGCTCTAATCCAGCTCCTGCAAAGTCTCTACCAGCGAATACCGGATCCCGTGTTGTAAGCAGGATTCTGCCTTGAGCTGAGCCTCGAGGCCAATACTTCGTGATAACTTGTCTATCGGCGGCATTGTCAAAAATGAGTAGCCAAGGGTACCCTATAGTAGGTCAATATGTGGCAACGCTTTTACATTTAGATAAACCCACTCGTTGTTCTATACCAGTGTAGCAGAGTGTCCACGTCCGATTGAAGATCTGGAGATTGCTTTTCGATAATGCCAAGTTTGAGGGCGTATGCAGAGAATGTTTCTTGGATTTTGTTGTCTCTGTCAGCCCGTACAAATAGGATTGAAGGAAATGATAATTTGTTCTCCTGGGCGAATTTCACGGCCAGCTGGGTTTTCCCTGGCCCGGCCCCCCCATATAGAGAAATCGCGCTTCTCGGCACTATTTGAACCTATAGGCCCTTTTGGTAAGAGATGCTCTCCAATTTGTTTTAGTTGCCCCACACGGGAAACGAAGTGGGGATTTTCTGGATGCTGCAGTGAATGGCATGGGAGGTTGGCTGTGGTATAAGCTTGCTGAAGTGTCTGAGGGCCGCCTGCGATGATTCAACTTAGTATGCAGGGATACATAGAGGTGTAATATCAACTTAAAAAGTGGCCATACCTTTTATTTCATTCATACTTCTCTTGAACCTCCTTTTTGCAGATGGTGTTATTGATACGGGGGCTATGGCAACCGAGAGATGCGAATCTAGTATGTGCTGCTCTTGATCCAATTTAGCAGTCCACCTCTCAACACACGCTTCGGAACTCAGTTTTAAGCTCACCCTTTTCAGGAAGACTGCTCAGAAACTTGTCCACGAATGCAAGTAAGGTCTCAAAACTCTGACGATTAAGAGCAGCAACGGAGTGATGGTTGCGCTTCACCGGAGTAACGCGGGAATTTTCGAACTTGGCAATCTCACCATTGACCTGAGTTATCACAATTGAAAACTTAGTAAATTCAATTTAAGAAAGACAAAATACATGAAAGGGCGCAGCTTACAATGACTTTTTGTTTCTCTGCAACACGAAATAGAGCTCGCGCTCTATATTTACAGGGTTCAGTCTCGTAGAAGCTGAGAATCTGAAGGTTTTTCTTTCGTAATTCCTCAAAAGAATCTTCGATGTCTTTCAACATCTCAGAATTGACCCTATCTTTCTTGCCTGTATCCATCTGAAGCTCGGCCGTGGCGCATCCTCTAATTGCACTCTTCAATTGTGCTGTATTCTTTGCGTTCAGTGGAGTCCCAAAAAACACTAATGCACTAGGGAATACATTCATTGGTCTGTGTGATCCCGGCGAGTTTTCTTTCTTGAGGTTCTATTCGTCAATAACAAGGCCTGTTAGTGGCTCCGAATACTCAAGTGACAACGTAGTTTCGAGTTTCGAACTGAACCCTTGAAATGGTCCATCAAGCATCGGCAGCATTGGGAGGTAATAATGTCACATAGACGTATATACAACGTTTGAACTTACTTGCAGAAAAATATATCCACCCAAGCCATGGCATAACACAACCACTGGACATTTCCTCCCTTCACGATATCGGCTGACTATATCTCTGAGTCTATTGCTGTCGTCCAAAAGCTGCTCCCAAGAGAAGCACTCATCCAGCCGATTCCGTATCCACAAAAGTCGAGCTGAAGGTCTCTCATCTTGTAACCAGTCTCTTGGCCAGAACTCTGTGCTACTCAAAACATCGTTCCATGGCTGGCCCGGGTCATTCAAGGAAGGCGTTAAGCCATTGACAACGACGATACTGATAGAGGATAATGTCAGCATGAAGATGATCATGTATTGTTGAGCATTGGAATTTCAATTGATAGGGGTATAAGAGGATGCTTACTCGAATTCCGTGAAGGGAACGCCGTTGCCAGCTGGAACCTTTCGGTCATAGAAAAACGTCCCATTTCCGTAGCGGTCGTCCATAGTTTTCTTTGCGTTGGTGGCTCCTTTTTGATGAAAGGTGGGGTACTTTGACTCTCTGTGAATTCAGTTAGATTGAACGGTCACTTTTGGAACGCCTCCGGTATACTTTCCCTCTAACTTCCCAAGCAAAAAAATTCGTAAAGCTGTGGGAAAAATGTTCACGTGTTCCTCGAATAAAGGTCACACCAAATGGGAGGAGCATTAAAGGCTGAGAAGGCCAGTACTCACAAGACAATGAACCCGAAGACTTCCCAAAGATTTTGTTAATTGCATCAAGGGGGCACCAAGGGGAAACAATGGTCAATCCCCGCTTTTTCAGGGCTCCAGGTCCCCTCTTCTCTCTTTCTGCTATTGGCTATATTTCTTTGTTGAGCTGGGCTGTTGAGCAGCGGTGAAAAGGCAAGGTAGGAAATGAATGGTATCTTAGCAGTGGGGTTTGACTTATCCAATAGATGGGAGCACCGAGCATCCCCGAGAACGAGAACGAGATATGAAACACAGAGAACGGAAAGGAGCGCTCCATAGCCTCAAAATGACAACAGGGGCTGTGTGGTCTCAGTCAGCTTCAGAAGGTATATGGCTTGCGGGGTGCTTTTGTTGGCCGAATGGCCTCAGAACTTGAGGAGATCAAAGCACTGGGTTGGCTTGATGACCACGTCATGCTCTCTCATTTAGGCAACACTCTACCGACGTGAAGCGCCGTCTAGGGTCGGAATAAATTATTCGTGAGCTTTCTTTTCGAAATATTGTGATCCAATGTGCTGTCTTGCATATTTAGCTTAACCCCGAAAGGAAGCGGATTTGCATATCAACGGACCCCAGACAGGGGTAATGTTTGATTAATCGCATATCTGGCGGAAAACACGGACTGAGTAAAATTCGATATGCATGATACCGGGGGGAACATCAGATGACCCCTTTGATGTTAGTTTGGCAAGCTTAAAGCGGCGCTGAAGCTTGGGACATAAGAGTAGATGACAACTTGCTCTTCTGAGTTTCTTGATCACCCGGGACATAATAATTCAGACACGACTCTCATCTACATTACAAGTAACTGTTCAACAAGCCTCACTTTTATATCTGCTTCTCACATCAAGTACGTGTTCGCCTAGAAATTTCAACAAATACTTTCTAACCTACAGAAGCATGCCGGCGTCGAGTGAAAGCAATCGCGATCAACCTTGGAAACGCTTCTGTGACCCAGAGGCCCCAGGGCACCAAGATTTGATTGATGCTGCTTCTGAGCAAACTATGCGTGGTTTTCCAAATGCACCGTTCCTTCAATATTTGAAAGAGAACAAAGGGGGCGAACAGTGTTCGGTTCCTCCTCCAAGACTGCCAAAGCCCAAGTCTGGGTAAGCTCATGTTCCCTGTCAGTACGATTTTGGTGGTTCCAATCAGCTGAACTTTCCCATAGCGGTAAATAAACTCAGTACCGTCAGGACTCAACCGGACAGACACACCTGGTTCTACGAAGAGGGAAGGGAAACGAGTGATGTTGTTGATTTGAGTTAACGGATATTGGCTTTCGGGGCAGACTCATCGTTTGAATGGGTGTCATTTGAAGCTTTTTTCTTTTGCGTCAGTCCTTACCTAAATACACGCAGAATACTCAACTACTTGTCCTCAACGGTAGCATATGACTCGTATTCCTATTTAAGGCCCTATGGTAGAAGCCTATTCAAGTAGCTCCAGTTGGGAGACTTTCAAACTCAGGATCCACTGATCTTGTACCACCAATACTTGGTCATTAATCGTGGGTTTTTGGAATACACAAATACCAACATGGAATTAAAACAGTTGCAAATTGTTTTTATTGTCATGGAAATACATTGAATATGATACGCAAATGGCACCCAGGTTCTTCAGTCTTCATAAAAGCACGCAAAGCGCAGCTCCACACTCTCTCGCTTCGGTCCACCCTGACGGAAAGAGGGGTGATTAAATGATAAATGCGCGCCAACTGTTTCAAGCACTCGAGTTAGCAGACTCATTATTTGTAGTCCGAGATACCAGTGTCTCGTCTTTCAAATATTCAGACATGGTATACATAAGCAAAGGTCTTTAAAAACCTACAAGGTATATCCCATCCTCGTGAGTCAGTATTCCGGAATACTATGATCTCATTTACCAGCTGCCCTGAAAGGAAGTACCATCGGTGCTGAGAGTTATGGTAAAGGCGCATACTTTCACCCACATGAGATCTATGAATCACATCATTGGTCTCAATATCTTCATTTGATACTGTCGTAAAATCGCATAAGGCCAGGGGATATTCCGTATTTGGACCTATGGTCGCTCTCCAAACACTTTCCAGGACAGTGTCTTAGCATCTAACATCTTTGAGACAATTTAGAATCGAGTATGGAGTATCTTACTTCAGCATCTCAAACCGCTTCCCGCGAAGATGCTCGGAATCTTTAAATAACGACTCGAGCTGACGGGCTGCACCGTCAGGTGTGAAATCTATATATCAAGAAGTGTCTTCGATCAATTTCTGTCTCGGATCGGACGACGATACCGAAAGTACCGACCTGTGTGTGCGTATAGAACCGGATTTGCAAAAGCTGGTTCTTCTTGGAACGTATTAGGGAAGTCCTCGCATCGCTTGCGTCGCTGAACATTGTTTGAGTTCACGGTTATTATTCAAAAGCCCCATCGAGCAAAGATCAAGCATTACGAACCAAATGGGTAAGAAAATGAATCTCCATAGCTTGAGGAAATGCATCGCGCATTTCCTTCATGACCTCTGGGACATAATAATCGAGAATTGCCCCATCATCATCAAAGTCCACTGGGGAGAGCGCGGTAGGCCAATTTCTAAATTCAAACCCATGAGTATCCAAAAGGAATCTTCCTTTCTCTCCACGCGCGTCAGTCATCAGCGCTGTATACTCGCCATATTCGTGGTTCGTTTTCGTTCCATCTTTGAACCCCGACACGTCAAAGGTAATCATGAATGGCTTTTCACGGCGGTAAAGGTCTAGGCGCTTCAAGTAGTGAAGATTTGCCTGAAATGAGCTTGAGCTCCTATCTTCGGGGGTAATCATATCCATGTTCAAATATTGCTGTCCCGTGCCCAGTGCTAGTTTCCTATATACACCAGATGTCTAGGGCCTATGAGTCGTTTTATAATTTCTCCGCTTTTCAGACACACAGCCATCCATTTTACGGTTGCTTAAAGCGGCGAGTGTTTGATTTCAAGGGTCTCCAGTGCCAGCTGCTCACTTTCAAGAACGCTGTTCTAGATTTGGATTTAGTAAATTCAAACACGGAATCAAAGCCCTGATTCGATAGTATCCATGTGATAAGCCCACACATCGCAGCGGACCGTCGCGGCGGGGCGACGCGCAGTTTGCCCATTTGCTGGGTACTGTGCTACATGTCATAATAGAAAAAAAAAAAAAAAAAAAGTGCTGACTCGATCGTTCAGGCCAGTGGGGCAACACGCATGATGCATGATGGCCAAGTGGGATTAGCGCCATGACCTCGCAAGCCCCTCTTTCAGCCGTGACTCGCACCTGCTGCACGGAGTGCCTGAAGCTGAAACTCGTATTTGCAATGTATCAGGTAGGGATGCATGCAGGCATGCATGCAACGTGTCACGAGTACCTGGGTGGTTTTTAATTGGGCCAAATATGCATGGTGAAGTCGCCTGCTTTGATGCCCCTCCAAGGCTTTCTATCTCCACCCGGAAGGAGTTAGTGGAGTCAGAGGCTGGCTCCGAAGCACCGCCCCGCTTCCCCGACATTTGAAAAATCTCAATTTTGTTTTCAAACTGGACATATAAAACAAAAGATGCTTTGGTTTCAAAACCTAAGACTGAAGCGTCGCCATATCCTAAGAATATTTTCAGCCTCTTTTCTATTCTCTCCCTGGTCTAGCTCTCACCGTGAACGCAATTACAGCACCTCACCAAGTTTCACCATGGATTTCCAGCGGGGAACTACTGTACAACTCGGTTCAGTTGAGTACCTCGTAAGGGGCAGAGTTGAGGTGTGCCCAACCCAAATACAGTGAGATTGATGAATATGAAGTCACTAAGAAGATGATTGTGGTTAGAGATATTTGCCCGCGGAGCTTTCGAAAGAACTGAAGGAATGTGACAAAATAACACCCGTCGTCGTTCTTAACTCCGTTGGTTCGGATATTCTGCTTGAGAATCTGGAGAATACACTCGCGAAATTAATCGAGGAAGATGATGTCTTTACATCAGATTTCATGGCGAACAATCTGTTGGTGTTCCAGAGCCTGCAACTGGGAAGTTCCAAGGCCAACCTTCCGGTGGAGGTCGTGGAATATCTGGAGAAAACAGCAACAAGGTGCTTTTTCCTTCAATGGACAAGTGACGAGGATATTCTTCCCCAAGGTCCCTACTTCGCTAGTCACAAAGGTCTACACCAGGCCTGGAGACTATACGAAGACAAGCTTGCTGCATTCGTCTCAACCACCTTCCCGGCCGATCATTCTAATTATGAGTAAGTCTCCAATGCGATTGGAAGACCATCTTCATTTTCCCGAATATTCATTGAATCTATGGATCTAGGTTCAATCCAGTAGGGGTTGTCGCTGGAACCGGCCTCCATCGAGCGGTTGCTGTGCCGTCCCGTTTATACTATCCGAGGAGCGCTGCCAAGCCTCTGAACGGCATCAGAGTCGCTGTGAAGGATAACATACACTTGAACGGGGTTGTCACCACACTAGGCAGTCGCTCATACACGGAATGCTATGGTGTTCAAAAACAAACAGCAACATTTGTCAAACATCTGATTGATCAGGGAGCTGTCATCGTCGGTAAAACTAAAATGTCTTCTTACGCCGGTTCTGAAATTCCTCCCGAAAAATGCATCGATTACTTCCCTCCGTGGAATGCGCGAGCTGATGGCTATCAAGGCCCATCAGGGAGCTCTAGTGGCTCAGGTGCATCCGCTGGGGGCTATTCCTGGTTAGATCTCGCCTTCGGCACTGACAGTAAGTTGTGACCATGTAGCCTCGACTATGAAAGGCAAGTCTGATTGTTTCGCCAGCTACTGGGAGCGCGAGAATGCCTGCTGCTGCTCATGGACTCTGGGGATTAAAGGCGTCCTGGAATCTTTTTCCAATGCAAGGAGTGGTTCCAAGTGTCCCGTACGATAATTCCTCGCCCGTAATTCGCTAAAAGCTGACTAATTTCAGGCCCTTTGATTCATTTGGCATATTTGCGCGTAGCTATAGTGAGATACAGCGTGTGCTTCTTTCCTCCGGAATTCCTGAATTGGACGAGAGAAAGGTAAGCAGCCATGCTGATTTTGAAGCTCCTCAACTAACATCCGCTTTCTAATGAATGGTAGTTACCAATTAGAATACTATACCCTACGGATTGGTTTCCGTACAAAAATCCTGCTCAGCAGCAAATGACCGAGGAATTCGTTGGAATTCTAGAGGAACTTCTTGGCGTGACACGTACAAATATTTCGCTGAAAGATGAATGGACCCGGTCAGCACCAGAGAATTTCCGCCAGATTCCAATTACTGAGTTCTTGTATGATGTACGTTTTGGCAAATAGCTGTTTGTCCAGAATTTCCGTTTGGGCTCCTTTCCTAATTTGGTTATCTGCAGACGGTTGAACGAATAAATCTCTATGACGGTTATCATTCATTTGATGACTTTCGTGCAGATTATCAAAATCTCACAGGCCATCAGCCTTATGTGAGCCCCTTTCATATCAGGCGCTGGTAAGGTGTAACCTAAACTTCAGCTTGAAGGCTCTAGTGTATCTACACAGACTTACGATGACATGTAGGGAAATGGGAGAAGAGATCACTGAAGAAGAGAGGGCCCAATCTGATGATGAGACCAAAGTCTATAGAGATTGGATTGACGAGAAGATCCTCACGAAAGACTCATCTGGTGCCCCTGAGGCGATCATGATCCTACCCCTTGGCAGACCAGGGCCTAACTATCGGGATATTGTACCACCACAACAGTACGTCACATTGGATTAATCCAATTTTCTTTTGTAATGCATTCGCTGACGAGCTTTCCTCACAGGACCGGAAGATCATGGTACCCAGGATATGACGAAGATTTCCTCGCGTCTCTTCTCGGACTTCCACAGCTGGTGGTGCCAAGTAAGCTTCTGGCCTCGCTTTTTTCTTTTTGAGATGCATTGCTCAAGACTGACACATCTGTCATATCAGTTGGCCAAAATCCATTTGAATCTAGAATATCAGCTACTACCGAGTATTTTCCCATTGTTGGCTCCATCACTAGCTCTCGTGGTAGGTGAAATTCTCGCAATTGTCAATTATTTCCAACACTAACGGCACTCAAGGCTCGGATTTGATGCTTCTGCGGGTAGCTTTGAAAGCTTTGGAAAATGCAGGATGGCCAACCAAAGTCGATGCTGGAAGGAGAATGTTTGCTGTAGGTAATAACACTCGTCATACATCATCACCAATAGAGGGGGATGAGTGCAAATTGTAAGTGGTATGTAGAACACCATTCGGCAATTTTACCTAAGCAGGAACACCCTCGAAGTATGAATCTCCTCTCTACAAAATTGATCAAAAATGTCATTTGTGGCTATAGCTGAATCACAAGCCGGATCAAATTATGTCTTCACATAGTAGTAAAATTTGATACCTCAATATATATCAATTAAGTTTCCTGAGTAAACAGTGAAACTTGGTAAATAACTCGAATAAAACTGCGACGGCACCCGTGTATCGTTTCTGTCAACTCGAAAGCGGTTTTCTCAATCACACCTGATTTTTCAGCTTAGCTACCCGGAAGCCAAAATAGCGATTCTTAATCATTGTACATAGAGACGCATAACCCTTTCGAATTTGACCCCACAGTGGTATCGCAACACAGACTGCAGTGAATGGGAGTGCAATCGCGAAAAAGTATTTCAACGACGGATTGGGGCTTGTAAATGCGGTCACATTCATACCAAATAGAGATGATATGAATGTCAAGGGAATAAAAACGAAAGCCAAAAGTGTCAATAAACCAACTCGCTCTGCTTGCTCAAGTCCCTTCTTGGATTCTTGAATACTGATCGTACTCATTATTATTTGTATGGACTGAGTACGCATGTCAAGTAAAGACAAGGCTCGAGTTTGAAGTTGCATGAAATCTCCCCTGACGCGTCTCGCTATATCTTCCACCTGTGCACCGATCGCCGCGACAGGCCATTCAAGCTGATGACGCTGATCAATGAAATCTAGCACAGTACTAAAGTACACGTTTGCGCGATCGATAATTCTTTTGTCGTGGAGAAGAATTTCAGCGTGTTGGTCTGCATTGAGGTTCGGACAATCGAGTGGCTCTTCCATGAAGCTGAGGAATCTGGTCCAGCACAGCGCAGACGTATCGAGAAGATCGCACAGGAAAACAAAAGGGTCTTGCACACACAATTCAGGGTCCAGTAAGAACTCGGTGTCTCGTTTGGCCCGCGAGTAGCAGGGATCGGGACTAATATATTCATTGTCATTCCTGCCAGTGGGCAAATCATGATTTCGCATATCCGGAAGATCGAAAGCGCATGAGCCAGAGCGCATCAAAGGAAAGAAACGTTGCTCAGATGTGGTATCATTGCTCCACGGAGTAGTTCCACTCGGGTCTCCGCTGTCATTGAGGACCAACCCCGACCACGCCTGGTGGCTTAAATCGAATGGAATAAACGTGACTTGCTGCTCGACAGAAAAGTGGCCGGCTCCATGAATATTGACACGCCGATATTGTACAGCCCGGGACTTCCTTCCAGTAATGAATTCAGGTGCCGCTGTGCTGTGATGTGATCTAGCCGGGCTTGAGCTGCCGCAATAGAGCCTTGGTGCAAGTCACCCTGGCCTAGCGTAATCATCTGCACAGTAAAAAATGGATTTTGTTGCGATTTTACCGCACGAACTTGGAACGACTTTGGAAATGCAAGATGACCAATGAGCGCTTCCGTGGGTGCGTTAAGACGTTGACCAAGGTACTGGAGAAGTGACAATTGAAAACATCCACGTATGGAGATTATTGATCGGGGCTGAATAAGAAACGGTTGAGGATTATAGGAAATAGGGGCCCCAACAACTTGACATTGCTCCAAATATTCATCGATCTTAAGGATGCAAAATGAGTTGCTTTGGCTTGGAGTTGTGGCAGCATCTTGTAGGAGGGCGGTGCGGAGGGTGCGACCGCGAGCGTGTCGGTCGAGGAATCTTGCTCTCATGAATTCGACAACCGTGTTTCCCCATTGCTCCTTCAGACGCTGTGAGAGATCCGACTCAGCAGACGGCAGCATGGAGGACATTTTGATAGGGCTGATAATGTATAGTATAATAGACTGATCCCTACTAAAGGGTCATTATATAGGATAGTCATATACTTGTCAAGTTTATTGAGGCGCTGTTAACTATTCAGAATCGTTTGAGTTAGCGCCAGTGCCAGTGGTGTTCAAAGTTTGTAGGGGGCTGTACATGATCACCTGGGCATTCGAAATGACAGTGATTACCTCGGTACATATGTGCGTTGGCTATGCACAGCTTACGGTACATAAGCGCGGGGCTTCTAAATTCGACCTAGGCTGAACCATTTCAACGGTTGATGCCACTCATTGTGCATTATGAAACAGGACTGTGTGTACACATTAGCTCTCTGGGAAGTGAAACTTAATTGAATGCTATGACCCTTTGAACCCTTGGAGCAACTAAAATCTCGGGGTTCTTGGCATATGCAAGTACATAGACAAATAACAAATAAATTTCTACCTCATTCTCCGCAATGCTAACTCCGAGGCTGCAAAACCCTCAAATAAATTTGAATATTTTTTGGCTGTTTTTCTTTAGACGAACGGGAATTTTCATCTAATAATATAACAAGTAATGGGGAATTTTTTTTTTTAAAAAAAAACCCGATTCTGAAAATCTAGCCGGAACGGCCGCATCTGATGGGGCGTGGTGAAGTGAGGCGGTTGGGGGCGAATGTAAAGAGCAGGGGGGTAACGAGGAAGTCTTTCCCAAGGTCCGTGACCCCGGACTACAAACCAGCCCTGTCAATAGACTGCGAAAATACCCACGGGTAAACTGGCACAGCAAGATCGGCGGCAATGTGTGACTCTAGAGGAAGACCGTGCACATATGTCAAGAAGACGAAAGGGCAATGAAGCCGAGAAGCCGCATGAAATTTGCAAGTCTAGTTGATTATGTAGACGTGATTACCGCAACTTTGGTCTAACCTTAGCTTTCACAACGAAAGCCTTGAAACCTCAACGACAATTCCGGAGCTGTTTTAGATAATAAACATGATTGGGAAAAGGCCAAAACTTGGAGGTTGTACAGTCACCTATTCGTGGGCGACTCCCTCTTCGTGAGCGACTCCCTCTGTTGAAATTATTATTATTATTATTAATTATTTATTGGTGACCTCACGCAGTCAAGAGGAGCAAGAAGAGTGTAGTTTGGCCATAACGGGTCACCTGTTGCTGCGGTCGTAGACCGTAGCGTCAGATAGGGCCCAAATGACCCGGGCCAAACTAGGATGGTGGAGGGGACGGTGGTGGAATCATCAGAGACAGCGGGGCCGACGAGCCTATCTGGAACTGGTGATTAAGCTTGTACAGGACAGAGGCGTTCGTCGTAAAATACACCCTGAACGCCTCCGAAGTCCATCTCCCTAGCATCTGGATCTGGTCATCGAGTATCCCACTATCGTGCGCATGCTGAGCCGCACCCTTCCGAAAGCTGTGACCCGAGTAGCCGTCTGTCCGTATCCCCAGCGATCTTAGCTTAGCATACAAGGTCGAGAGGAAGTTGTTGCGACTGAATGGTCTTCTGTGGAAGGAGAACAATGGGGCGTCGGGCCCTCTGGGGTCGAGAAGTAGCAGCTTCTGAAGCGCTTCAACGGGGCATGCGCCGTCTCCCGTCCTTGCAAGGATAATCTGTACTCCTTCGTGGCGGCGGTCCGTCTTACTGCGCTTGAGTGTGAGTTGTGCGTGGTCTAACGAGGACGAAAATCTGACGTCGGAGCGCGTTAACTTTGTGGGTGAGAAGATAGAACATGTGTGGAGGTCTTCAGTCTTGTAGGTAAATTCCCCAAGGCGGAGGAACCCCGCAAATGCTACCCGGCACGCGGTTGCGAAGTTCAGGTCATCTAGAGCCTTTGCAGATATCTCCAAGGGCTGTAACGGGAGTGTGGCGAGGCCCGCGGATAGTTTCGTAATAGTGTCACGCGAAATCGGTTTTCTGACCCGTACTTTGGTGATAGGGTTGAGTCTTCTCGCGCCGTCTATAAGACGTCGAAAATGCTTGTTATCGAAGAGTTTATCGTCAAGGAAGTTATCGATATGATAGGCTCGGAGAGCGGCTAGGTCGGCGAGTGCAGTGTCAGGCTTGATGGCCTTTTGGCTAGCGTTACCAAGGAGTCGTGTGTTTAACCATGAGGTCAAAGAATGTTTTGAAACTGGCCATGCGGGTATACTTTGTAGCGCGCAGTGCTTTTCGTAATTGCGCTGAACGGAGAGGTAAACGGAACGTGTATTGGCGCTGAGTCCGTTCCAGAGCAGTTTCAGGTGGCCTGTATTGAGCTGAGGAGCTCGTGAAGAGAACCACGCGGGTGGTTCAATACCGAGAGGTCCTGCCAATGGGGACAAATGTTAGCAATGTCTTCAAGATTATTACGAGAGAGCGCATCTGCTAATTTATTTTCCCCGGAAGGGAGCCAGTGGGGCACAATGTGGATGTCTCTCGCCGCCGCTAGGATAAGTAGGCTCTTCAGAGGTGCGTTAGGCGGACCATGAAGGAAGCCTTTCTTTAGTCCCGTGTGCGCTGTGGAGCTATCCGTGTGGATAACGAGAGTGTGATGGAGCCAATGGTGGCTGAAGAGTAGGAAGCCTTGAAGAATAGCGTCTACTTCATTGGTATTGATGTGCACATGTGCGTCTTGAGCAAGGGCCAATGTGGCAGCATTGCTTGGATGAAGCTGGTGACAATGGGCCAGCCAGCAGTCTAATGTAGACTTAGATGAAAAGAAGAAGAGCCCCTGGCCTGTACTGGAGGCATCTGTGTAGAGATGCGTGATAGTGCGGCGACAGGGGTCAATTAGAAGTACGCCGTTGAAGAGAGACAAGGAGTCCCTCCACCATTCCAAATCGTCACGAACCTCATAAGGGATACGGCGGCGCGCGCTACTCCCATGTGGGAAAGCGGCTTGGAAGGTATATAGGGACTGTAGCCTTGTTCTTCCTAGCCGAACAACTCTTGAACAGAAGGCTAGTAAGCCTGTGAGGCGCTCTGTTTGCTTGAGGGAGAGACTCGCCGCGTTTAGGGCAGCTGCGGCGTCCAATGTGGCGCGGCACAACTTTTCTGGTGGCAGACGAGCTTCCATTGCGAGAGTATCTATCTGGATACCTAAGACTGTAACACAGGTCCCTTGCTGGTCCTTCTTAGTATTGCGAGGGATACGTAGGTAGTCGGTGACCCTGTTGTAAACCTTATCGAAGGCACTCATAGGGTCGAACACCGAGGGAGACCGAGCAATTGCGATGAAGTCGTCTAGGTAATGATTGATGTAGAATGCAGGAAGGAGGCATTGGAGTATCCAATGGAGTGCCTCAGCGAAGAGGTTAAAGAGATATGGGGCCGTTGCCAGGCCAAAGGGGAGACAGCACTCGACGTAGGTGGAATCGTTCCACTGGAAGGCAAGGAGATGCTGGTTGTCCTCGGCAACAGGGACTATTCGGAAGGCGTCTTTGATATCCCTCTTGATAATTACGCAGCCTAGGCCAGCTTGTATGACTTGCTCATAGATATTATCGATTATCATGTATTCAATAGCTGACCAGGAGTCTGGTATGCCCTGGTTAAGGCCTTGTCCAGGGGGCCAAGAGAGATCATGGATGCGGCGCCAACCCCCATCGTGCTTAGGGACTAACCCAAGCGGCGAAACGAAGGAAGGCCCAGAGGCTAGTCTAACACGACCGAGGTTGAGGTCGTCTGCTAGTTTAGCCGTGATCATGCCAGGTTCGTGTATATGATGGTTAGAAGAACAGCGAAACTGCTTCTTGCCCCTATAGCCAACCTGGACACCGTAGGTCAGGATGCCAGTGATAGTGGGCCCGAGACCGCCTGGATAGTAGCGTAGAAGATTGCTCCAGGCTTTCGCATATAGTGGTGATGGAGAGGACTGTAACCTTGGCAGCTCCGGGTTGAAAACGGGGTATTGAACAGCAGTATTTGGTCTAGATGGTTGCCCCTGCGGTATGAAGCTTAAGGATAAGGGATTAAGAACGACGCCATTGTTCTTAAGGGCTGTCACTTGCTACTTCTTCTTGCGGCAGGAGGAGGCGCCATGCTCGCTTAGGCCACATGCCGTACACTCATGACGTCTCTTGCAGCCTTCCCAGGAGCACCCTGTCGTATTGAACTTATCGCAAACCTCTGACTCATTGTTCGAAGATCTAGTATTCCTGGCTTGACGAGGCCGTGTTGGGGGGTTTATTGGTGACTTCGCAGGTAGGGTGAGATTGTGGCGGAGATATTTCTCGCGGAATGGGCCTGTGACTAGGTAGTTTTCCGTCGATAGTTCTCCTTTATCCAGTATATATTGGTGGAAATTAAGGGCAAGGGGGAGTACTGCTTCCGACCACTGATAAGTCTGGGCGAAGTCCAGGATCTGCCTCATAAACATGAGTAGGTTGGGAACTGCCTTAGGATGTTTCTCGCCGAAGAGGTATCCTACAACGGCCAGATAGGCAAGAAAGCAGGTCGTCCATATTTGAGGGTTAGGGCCCCAATCCTTAAGCGACGCTGCCGCCTTTTTGAAGCCCACTGTGCCTCCCGACTCAGTCATGTTAAAGACTCTGTCCTCCTGATCTAGCTCGGTGACTGACTTCTCTTTGAAGCGTATAAGTTCAGTCGCCTTGAGTTTCCTCTCGAAGACGCGAGTAAGAAGGGCGGCGGAGACACCCGGAAATATGTCGATGAGTGGTTTGACGTTAAGGGGGTGGCTCACGGTTTTCCTCGAGATTATCATCATCTTGCAGGTCCAATCGAGGCCTTCTGCGGCGGAGATCGGTCTCCGCTACATCCAATTCAAGGCGTCTAGCCCTGTCTCTCTGTATTTGCCCTAACCAACTGGCACGGTCTGCCGCACCCATGGATTCCCAAATGTGGGCCGGCGGCCAAGCGGAGTCGAGCGGGGCAGGAGTGACACTGCTGGACTGGCTGAAGGTCATGGTGGAGAGCGATATAGTCAAGGCTTATCGGTGCTGTTGTCGAAGGGAAGGACGTGAAACAAAATCAAGACTTGACTGCGTGAGAGATGACGAGCTGCCCGCAGAGGCAGACATCTGACTCTCGTGAAGCAGTTGTGGGAGGAAGAGGCCCTCAGTAATGTCGGTGTAGATATCACGTGAGGCTACAGGCATTGTGAGGCAACCCCAATAAAACTGGTGACGCGCGCTTTCGCACGCTGTGGCCCTGAAACGATGGAAAGGAAAGGCAGGGATGAGGCAGTATAAGGAATATGGGACTTTGATTTGCTCGACAAGACACTTCACAAAGCAAATGAGCGGTGACCAATGAGAACAAACACGACATGACTAACCGCCGCAACGCTTCGGAAGGCAGAAATATTAGTAAGCTGTTAAACGACCATTTTTACGTGGATCGCGCAAGTATAAAGACGTATTATGTTTTTCGTTGTCTCCGAGAACGCGTCTCTGGAGGTGCTGTGGTAGCTGGTGGCGAGGGTTCGTCTTCGTCGGCACTTACTGGCCAGGTAATTTGTGTAGCGCCCTCATCCTCATCATCAAGGGAGACTGTAGCAGAGAAATCTAGTCGTGGATGGACGAAAGGAAGGGAATCGGTCAGCGAACTTGGCGCTGATTTAGTCGGGGTTTGAGGGCCTGCCCGTTGGGACCAACGGTCAACACGCTTCCGTTTACCAGTCGAGGATGGGGTAGCGGGCAAATGATGGGTTGGTGTTGGGAGGAAATGAATATCATCCGTGACGACGGCTAGTTGGCGATGTTTTTTTGTGAGGCCGAAAATGCGACCCGTCAAGAAAACATAGGAATTGATGTTTAGTGCTGGAAAGTTCGCCCATCGTGGACCGTTTTTGAAGTACACGGTGACTGGGAAGGTGTGATAGGTTCGAGTGGAACTGTTGTAAACAGTAGTCCGGAAACGGTAGTGAAGAAGAGTTGGCCCGCCGTTTAGTTCACCACCACGTTCAAGAACAATACCGAGAAATGTCACTGTAGGCTGAGCAGCTTCGGGGCAGTGCATGAAATATGTTTCAGTATCTTCTTCATTTCCCGGATGACTAGTTGTGTTAATTTAGCTCTGTAGCAGATAAGGTAAACTCACCGGTGCAAAGTGTGAGCATGGATAATAATATGAAATTCCTCATCATTGTCAGAAGTAGTCAGGAAAGATCCTGAGGAATAGACAAAAGTGTTCGGCTTATAAAGGTCAGGCTGGTTACCCTCATTAAAAAACCTGATCAGAGTGGGAATCTCATCGTGTTCGACATCCTCTGATTGAATGTCCTTTAAAGGTATGTTGAGGGAGATACGGAGCTGCATGGACTGCCCCTTACCAGGGCGTGTAGGGTCCGGTTCGATATGTTCGACAAAGTCCCGAATATGAATAACAGCCGGGTAAGTTGAATTTGAAGGCATAACGTTGTCTGGTGTAGATAAAGATCACCCAGGAAAAGCAGCCGAAATAGAGTATGCTCGTTCTAGCGAGGTTTATAGAGTGATTGTAGGTTAGAAGGAGAAGCAGGCAAGAGAGACTCTTGTTTATCTAGGTAAGATATGTTTTGGAGAGAGATCCCTGTTTTAGATACGAACAGAAATATGACATGTTCTAAATGTATCTCACCGCTGGTTTCGTAAAGAAAATTAGTGGATGACTTTAAGTTTTGTCAGTTACGCATGTAGCACGTGGAAGTAAATGATTTGCGGAGGTGTTAGACTCATTGGTGTAGGGTAATGATCTACTATTGGTAGTTTCGGTCAGCTCCCTTTCGCCTATAGCATATATATGAACGTATAATGATAGATAGAAGAAGTGATCATCGCATCTATAGAGAACTACTATAGGCTTTGATTTCCTAGTGGAGTGTTGTAACTGTCACTTGTAGTGTCTTTGCTAAGCATTCAGTGGTTTGTTAAGGTCTGAAAATATTTCTATTCTTATAAGCTGAAGCAGAAGAAGGGGAGATTTAGCCTGTGTACCGATCGCAGCCTCGAAGGATAGTGTAAGCGGTATCGGTAATGTGCGCGAAAATGATGATATGCCTTATAAGTAGTACTACATACGGGAAACGAAATCGTTAAGTTGAATGCTTCCAAACACCTAAAGTCACTTTCTCCAGGTCCTGAAGCCTTTGCATTTCTGCGAGAATGCGGGGATCAGGTTCGAATTGGAGGTCCTTCATTTCGATTTCCTGCAGAAGATGGAGGCCTTCGGACGTTCGTAATCTGGACAATTGTACGTAAGTTGAGCAGAACTTTTGGTGGCGGTCTCGACCGCGTATCGTTGGGTCATCTCTAAGATCCAGAATCGCGGCGTTAAGTGTTGAACCCTGAACTTTGTAGTCTGTGAGGCAGAACGCCGGGCACATAGGGACTTGTCTCCTGCGGACAGAGTAACCCTGCAGAGTGATTGATCTTTCTAGGGGGAAGACAGGAACGATAGCAGGCGCAAGACCTTCGAAACCTAACGTGCTTGATTTGCCCTGCTCAAATAAAACACACGCAGGAGGTTTAGTGCAGAGGAAATACAGATCGTCAATGTTATAGAACTCGGCTAAGACAATTTAGCGTTAGATTTTAAGTTTCTGCGTAAGGGAGGACTACTCGCCTGCCGGGTCAACGGCAACACCGACAGCGGTACCGGTCGCCCCATTGACTTGTCCCAACCGAGTACAAATATTTGATAATATGACTGAAGGCATATTCCGTGTGTACAGAAATATTCCCGGGAAGGGGATCATAGTGCCTTGATCCGGTTGTCGGAGCAAGTCGTCGACACGCAAGCGAGGGTTGGTTGGATTAGTGGACTTGGTTCGTGTGTGATGAGCAGGGAAGGCGTAGATCTTCTGGCAGCGAGCCTTGGCAAAGTGTTCCATCCTAATACGATTGATCTGGTGACGAAGGGAATTGAGCTTTACCACTGTCGTCGCAGCGTCCAGCTGAGGGTCCACCAAGGAGGTGACGACCTTAGAGTTTAGCAGGCGTAGGTCGCCTTCGGATAAAGTCGATGTCCTTGCTCGGGAGAGGAGGCATCGAAATGAGGGGTCCGCGGATTGCCTCATCTGCTCGTCCAAGACAATCACATCTCTGAATTGATGCCATATGAGTCGACCGTTCTCGTCCGTATCATTCTCCCTTCTTGGTTCCTTCCACAATGCAGGGCCTCGAACAGGTGGAAACTGGAAAAAGTCACCCATGAGAATGACTATAGGTAAACCGCCGAATAAGTCGGGCGAACGTTGATCGAGGGATCGCGCCATTTTGCAGTGGTTGTTAATGACACTAAGCAGACTTAGATCCAGCATGCTGACTTCATCAATGATCATAATTGTTTTCCGGGACCAGAGCTTTCTCACGCGAGAAGTTATGGTATGTCCTTGATTACGGGTAATAGAAATTCCCAGAGATGTGTGGAACGTGTTACCACCAATGTTGTCCGCTGCGGCACCAGTGGGGGCCATCACGATCACCTCTTCTTTGCGGCGAATTAGATCCATCCCGGTCAAAATGGCTTTGACGATTTGACTCTTGCCGCCACCCCCTTCACCCCCGATATAAAGGAGAGTCTGATCTCGCTTCGAAGGATCGTAAGGATGGTTCGCCCAGCCTAATGCCCCGCTTAGCACCTTTTCAACGACGAGACGCTGTTTCGTGTTTAACGGAATAAACTCGCTGACGAGCAAAGTTAAAGAGGCAGGGTTCGAAGTGTCAACAACTGACCGCTGGTCCAGTAGGATAGGAATCGCGATCG